TAAACATATACACACGGTAAAATAAGCAATGTTCAGATAAAATATTTACTTAGTGTTGCAAGTCAAAATAGTGTACACAAAGATCGCACAATTACCAAGCAAGTGACTTACAAAAACTGCAACACCATTACCGATGCTCCCCACAAATGTACCTACATTTCCAAAACTGTATTTCATTTTTGTTGATCAATGTGACCATACGTCCTTCTACTATCAATAAAAATGCGCTTACGAATGGCGAGCACAGGTCGCGAACAAGTCTAGATTTCTGCTATATCATCCGGGTACTCACTGGGAAAATACAGTGATGCACAGGTAACAACTACTCCCGCGGAATTGCTTTAGATCAGTGCTCCTTTGTACGTTGAAATACTATATATTGTGAATGCCAAAATGATGTATCAAGGATCAAGTAGAAGATACATTGACCGTAGCGCTGGGAGTTTATTCAACAGACCCGTGAAAATAACACTGCTGTATCTTACTATTTATTTTAGATGACGCAGTCAAAGCTCACTTCTCCTGGCGGCCATTATCGAACGGCCAGCTAAAACACAACCCCGCGCTTACGTCTACAGGTCTCTTCCTGTAGTACGGTAGTAAGTATTCTCTCCCTCAAGTGTATCCTCAATGATATAACCCACCCTCATTAATTACATGCTGCTCTTTTCCAGCCTCACTGCTATGGAGCTGAGATAAAGAGTCCAAGTCATCATAAAGTAATTAGGGTCCAATAAAAACAATGCGCCGCCAAACCTCATACATATTATCACTGAAAGTCGTACTACAGACGGTTAATGTCAAATCACAAAAAAAGCATTTTAATTGCAATAACATGTTCCAGGACCATGTATTCTCTTAACACCATCGGATTTAGAAGCAATGGTCGTATAAAACAAAACAGATCTATTTAAACACAACAGTATTCATGTTATTCCCACAAAATCACATAAAGAAAGGAGACATTGGCAAATACATGTGTATTATCATTTTTCGTCAGGATAACAATAATTTCCCTCCTTGTTACCACCTCCAGCTTCAGCTTAAGACGGGTCCTCCTTTGGTCAAAAGTTTGTTCCCCCTCTAATGAGTGTGTCACGCGTTGCACACGAGTGGCGGTTGGGGTGCACACCCGTGTGCAACGCGTTGCACACGGGTATCACACGCGTGACCAACCCGATGCACACTGGTTGCGTAACGCGTTGCCTATGCGTGTAAGGGGAACGGACTTCTAGGCAGTAGTGTACACGTACACAGGAAGTCGGCGCTGTCGGAGGCTCCAGGTGAATAAACATCGTGGTTTTATGACGGGAGATCAGACGAACCGTGAACCAGGGGCATGCGACGTAATTACACCTAAAGATTGTAGAACCGGGGTATTGTCTCTTGGACTTGCTAATTGACCGTACGTATAATTGGTAAATATATTCGTTTTGACACCCGTGTTTCATGCGCATCCCGGCTCATAAGCAGAATACAGACAAATGAGGCCCCGTGATCAGCGGAGCGTGAACAACATGGATGCCGCCTTTCGGCCGTACCGAACAGTCAAGCTGCGATCTCGGAACTGAATCCAATTGCAAGCGGAGAAAAGATTACTTCCTTTACCCAAACATGATCGTTGCTCAGAAATGTTCAAATCTATCTTCAGTAAATCATGAAATTAATGCGAGCATGACATTTATGCGAAAAATGCGATCGTCAGTCCCTCTGATTATTTTAATATGTTTCATTTCATCATGATAAAACAGTTAGTCACTTATAAGGTTACCACGTTGAAAATGGAAACGATCATTTACAAAAACAACAAAATGTATTCTCTCATCACTCAGCCTAACAGTGATATAACTGCAAATTAAACAATCAAGTACGCTAAAGTATTACACATGGTGGGTGGAGGACCAGGGGCACTTTGAGTTTGACAGGTGTCATCAACTGGTCAAGTAACATCACGGTTTGTATATTCACGTTGATTGGACAGTCTAGACTGGCGCCAACTAATCATGACGGCGTCTTCAGAACAGAACACAACTTTATTTCTCTCAGGTTTAGGCTTCCGTGGATAACGGAACATTTTGTTTAAGTGATAGCACATTTGTAATTCAATCTAATATACTTTCTTTGATTGATTATATGGCTGCGGTCGTAGATCCGGATGTATCTAAATATGCTCAGTATATACACAGGGTTTATTGTTATACTATTAGGATTAATAGAAACAATTGAGTATTTATACCCTTGATCATAAAGGTAGTCACTACTTTCACACTTTGATTTGTATGATTTGGGTTATGATTAAATTGTCAACAACAAAAATCAATCCGTGTATATGTGTATTATATAGTGTACCCCAATACGTAATTAAATTGTGTATAAATAAGGACACTAGGTTAATTACTGTAATTGATTATTTGATAAACATATTCACATTTAGTTGTGTGATATGTCACAGAAGTAAAGCTAATTCATAACAACTAATTGTCCCATTTATTTGGTTTCTATCTTTTATATGAAACAAATGCTATAACATGGGGTGATAAACTTCATTGGAAATAGACGTAGCATATAATTGTCCACATGAACAGTCTACTCTGTTCCAGATATGTTTATTCATTTTTTCAGCATTTAAATCGTTGCATTCCTGGCTCAATAATTCATTTGACGAAATGTTGTTCCCTGTTTTGAATTACCGTCAGATAGTTCCAGAACAATTATACAATTTTCAGCCCTATGTGTTGCGCATAATTCCGAGATAATTCGAAGTTCATATTCTTGTACGAACACTTATCAAAATTCATTTATACCTAGTACTATTATGTACATATGTATATTAGTTCAAATTATAATAATGAGGCCCTCTATATTCTCGAAACGGTCTTTGTTCTACGACAACCGTAAGTCGGTATGGGAAAACAAAATATTTGTTTAATTGTTCAAAGTTAAAAGTCAATGTCATATGATTATAGGCAAGGAAGATAAGAAATTAGATATAAAGAGTAGCCACTTTAAATGACAGAATTTCTTTTAGTTAAATTTGCTCATGATTTGGTCTTTTTCGTGGAACATAGTGCCAAAATACTCTTAATTATTTACTTTCATGTCATTACTAATCTCACATAAGGTCAAAAGTTGTACAACGTTTAACAGATATGATTATGACATGTTGTATCCAAATATTTCCAAACATTTACAAACAAATCCAAGCTTGGAAATATGACCTTTCCAAATATTGGAATGGTCATATTTCCAATTGGAATGGTGGTATTTCCAAGTTTTGGATTTTTTGGAGTGGATGATATTTTGTCCAGTGTAAGCAAGTGTCGCCTTGATCCACAAGTCAATACTGCGACTGTTAGTAGATCGTTAGTAAGTGTCGCCTTGATCAACAACTCAATACTGCGACTGTTAGTAGATCGTCAGTAAGTGTCACCTTGGTCCACAGCTCAATACTGCGACTGTTAGAAGATCGTAAGTAAGTGTCGCCTTGATCCACAAGTCAATACTGCGACTGTTAGTAGATCGTCAGTTAGTGTCACCTTGGTCAACAACTCAATACTGCGACTGTAAGTAGATCGTTAGTAAGTGTCACCTTGGTCCACAGCTCAATACTGCGACTGTTAGTAGATCGTAAGCAAGTGTCGCCTTGATCCACAAGTCAATACTGCGACTGTTAGTAGATCGTTAGTAAGTGTCGCCTTGATCAACAACTCAATACTGCGACTGTTAGTAGATCGTCAGTAAGTGTCACCTTGGTCCACAGCTCAATACTGCGACTTTTAGAAGATCGTCAGTGTCGCCTTGGTCCACATCTCAATACTGCGACTGTTTGTAGATCGTCAGTAAGTGTCACCTTGGTCCACAGCTCAATACTGCGACTGTTAGTAGATCGTCAGTTAGTGTCACCTTGGTCCACAGCTCAATACTGCGACTGTTAGTAGATCGTCAGTAAGTGTCACCTTGGTCCACAGCTCAATACTGCGACTGTTAGTAGATCGTCAGTTAGTGTCACCTTTGTCCACAACTCAATACTGCGACTGTTAGTAGATCGTAAGTAAGTGTCACCTTGATCCACAACTCAATACTGCGACTGTAAGTTGATCGTCAGTAAGTGTCACCTTGGTCCACAGCTCAATACTGCGACTGTAAGTAGATCGTCAGTAAGTGTCACCTTGATCCACAGCTCAATACTGCGACTGTAAGTAGATCGTCAGTAAGTGTCGACTTAATCCATATCTCAATACCGCGACTGTTAGTAGATCGTAGGCAAGTGTCGCCTTGATCCACAACTCAATACTGCGACTATAAGTAGATCGTCAGTAAGTGTCACCTTTGTCCACAACTCAATACTGCGACTGGTAGTAAATCTTACGTACGTGTCTCCTTGATCCATAGCTCAGTACTGCGACTGTTTGTAAATCTTAAGTACGTGTCGTCTTAATCCACAGCTCCATTTATACCACGATTATTTTGTTGTTTAACGCCACACTCTGCAATATTCCTGCTTTATGACGGCGTTCTGTAAATCATCGAGTCTGGAACAGACAATCTAGTGATAAATATTATGAACATCGATCCACGCAATTTGGATCGATGACATGCATCAACCATGTCAGCGAGTCTGACTACCCGATCCCGTTAGTCGCCTCTTACGACAAGCATAGTCACCTTTTACAGTAAGCATGGGAAGACCTGTATTCTACCCCGGATCTTCACGGGTCGCCACGATTATAAGTAGATCGTAAGTTAGTATAGGTTGAACACAAACACGTTCCACGTTGCGTGTGTACTTAGTGGTAACAGAAAGGAGCCAGTATGTGGTATACCATTAGTCATTCAGATCCGTTAACTATGAGTGGCCTCTGCATGTTCAAATGTAATATTTCCCGGAGAATCCGATCTGATCCGAAATTAAACACCACCACAATGTGACTTTGTGGGGTATTTATAACGACCAATCACCAAAGCAATACATCCCTTATCTTGCACACGGTTGACGACTATATTCCTGGCAGGTGTTGCATAACCGCCATATCGCACAGAGAGCGGGTGGGCGATGTTTCGCGCACAGTATAGATCAGTATAGCACAGTAAGGTTCTGTGAAGATTCTCTGATTCTACTCTATGGCATCACTTGGCCTTAGCAAAAGCATGTCCAGCGATTACACCTGAATGGCCTACTACTACCGTGATCGCGTCAGCCCCTTCAGGGCGCCAGAGGCGTGTCAGATCCTCAACTCCCCAGACCTGACGCGCGTGATCCGCACCGCTCCACGGGCCGTCAGTGGGGGTGAGGTCTATGTGTATTGCATAGAGGAGGGAACGGACCCAGGTAAGAATATATATGTACTTATTTCATTAGTAGTGAAGCTAGTAGACAGTGTGTGGATAACACCTTCTTTATTTACTCTAAAGGCGTCGGTTTGGTGTAGATCCTTATATTGTTGTCAAGCAAGGATTTGGTATTGAGCTTATGATCACCAGCAATGTAATTCAACCTATTGTATTTAGTAGATATTCGTTAAAACCAAATTCATTATTTGACGTTTCAGTGTAAATGTATAAGAATCTTTTTTATCATTATCTACTCTAATTTAGTTCCAAATCAATTGCGAACAAAATTAATGTACGCTGGAAATCCCAATATCTGTAAATTGTCTGCTGCTCAGCCCTCGTAAACGCTCGTATCATTCCGACAATTTTACGGACTAGGTGGTTCGTCAAGATTCGCATTCTTCCGTAAATGTACGAGCCATTCCGGAAAAGCTGGTGACGGAAGGATGCAGTAACATTCGTGACCACGCGCATCTTTCCGTAACTACGAGATGGTCGCGAATGCTGGCTGTTCGTGTATACTCGTGGTCTTCCGCTATTTTTATTAATCAATTGCTTTTTTATTTTTTTTTACAGTTTGTAATTTATTTCATGTTGAAAGGATCAAAAGGATGTGCGGCATCTGCTGATACATTGTTTACAAAACATAAACAAAACACTCCAACAAATATAAGTAAAAGTACAAGAAAAATTTACATATGGACTCAAAGTTTCTTATTATTTGGTTGACTGACAACTTAGCTTCATTTTATCGGAATTTCTAGAAACTCTATGAAACCTGGTGAAATTCTATCTGAAAATACAATATGGAAAATTGAAGCATAATGCATGAATATTCAAGAATGCATTAAAATATTCAAATTACTTTCATGAATATTCAAGAGATTACTTGAAATGTAGTGAGTGAGTGAGTTGGGTTTAACACAGCTTTTAACAGTATTCCAGTTATATTGCGGCGTGTCAGCTTAATGTGGGAGGAAAGCCCTAAGTGATGCAGGTCTCGGACGTTTACCACTTTGGTGAAACCCACCAGCATGGGTATGGTGCTGACAAACCCAGAAACATAATCGGGGCGAATCGGGATTCGAACCCACAATCATACGTTTCTGGCGTGCCAAAGGGACGCAACTCTGCACAGCAAATCGTGGCACCTTAGATGGCTGGGCCACCCGCGACCCCTACTTGAAATGTAAGACTAACAGAGAGTCTATAAAAACTTTTATTATACTATCAATTTCTTTATTAAAGTTTACTTTTTTTCTAATTAAATACATTCAGGGAATGGTCATTTTATTATTTATAATGGGGTTGGGCTGGTCGCTTTAAGATGGGTGTGTCATGGAAAAATGACAGCGGAAAGATGAGAGGTTGTAGTGGTTGTGTGTGTGTGTGTGTGTGTGTGTGTGTGTGTGTGTGGTAGTTGGGTTGGCTGGTGTAAAAAAAAGAAGACTTGGCTATTATTTACACCCCAAATTCTAAAATTTCATTTCAACAGATATAATTATCCAAATATTTGAGTTTATATTTTGGTGATTTAGAGCAGTGCCAAAAATATATTTGATACTTTATGTATTTAACTAAAGTGACGGGCAAAAGAAACTATACCAAAGTATTTTTTATTTAAAGAATATCACATCAGGACTGAACTGGAGTTTTCATTGTCAAACAAAATCGCATGAACGCAGCTTCATCATTACTGAGTTTTAAAAATCCTGCTTCTTCCCAAATATGGACTTTATCGAACTTTTTTCATTCAAAATGGGATGCACGTGCATCACGACACAATGGCTCGGAACGGGATAAAATCTGCCAATCTGTATGTTTTACACCACAATCGTACCAACCTCAACAGCTGACATGCCGAGACTGACCGCACAAGAGCGAGAGAGAGCAATTAGGATGTTGCAGTTGGGAGCATGCCATGCCGGTGTTGCTCGCATCTTCAACTGCACCAGAACAACGATAACGAGGCTGCAGACACGACTCACACAAACAGGTCGTATAGATGACAGGCCAAGAAGTGGAAGACCTAGGGTCACAACCGCCAATGAAGATCGGTACCTCCGCATCTTACATCTACGCAATCGTTTCGTCACTGTGACGTCATCGGCAGCCACAACCTTACATCATGTGGTCAGCAGAAGGACAGTTGCCAGGCGTCTTCGACAACACGGTATTCGGGCCTACCGGCCCTTTCGCGGGATGACCTTGAGCCGTCGTGACCGATGTAACCGCCTCCATTGGGCAAGAATGGTACAGCGGTGGCAAAACAGGAACTGGCAACGAATTCTATTCTCTGATGAGAGCAGGTTCCAGTTGTATCGAGTTGATGGCCGTGTGCGTTTGTATCGTCGGAGAGGAGAGAGAACACCCCAATGTTGTGTTCAGGAGACCGTGCCATTCGGTGGTGGAAGCGTCATGGTCTGGGGTGGGATTTGCAGGGACCGTACAACAGACCTGGTTGTCTTTGATCGTTATTTAAATGCTCAAGTCTACATCGACCATGTATTGCGTCCTGTGGTGCTTCCCTTCCCCCAGAAGAATCCCAGAGTAATCTTCCAACAGGACAACGCTCGCCCCCACACCACCAGGATAACCAGAGACTTCCTAACTGCAAATAATGTAAACCTTTTGCAATGGCCAGTAAGATCGCCTGACTTAACACCCATTGAGCACTTGTGGGACTATCTGGACAGACAAATAAGGGAAAGAAATCCCCCTCCGTCAAGTCGTCAAACGTTGATTCAGGCACTGTTGGAAGAATGGCGAGCCATCCCCAATGACGTCATTAGGGATCTTGTAAACTCCGTGCGGCGACCTGTCCAAGCCTGTATTCAGAGCAATGGAGGCCATACAAGATACTGACAGTAATGCATTTGTGAAAAAAATGCGTTTTCTGTTTTCTTTCAGATGATTTGTTTACCCCTGTGTCATTCCTTACCTGATATTGAATTTCCTGTAAATGCCACCTTTGTGGAATTTGAATCAGAACATTGTCAGATAAAGTTTCTTTCCAACTCACAACACTTTATTTTTGTGATATACTTGATAATGTTGTCAACACCAAATCAATGTTGGTATAGTTTCTTTTGCCCGTCAGTTTATATATTTTATGAATAACTATCATTTAAGTGACTGCCTCCATGGTCTAGTAGGAGAGCGGAAGTCCGGGGTTTGATCTATGGCCACGTCATACCAAAAGACTTTAAAAGTACTTATTGTAACCCTGTCTGTCGCTCGGCATTAAAGGGCTAAAACAATGACTGGTTGGCTCGGAGTCAGTATACTGTGTCTGAGTGGGGTATTCATGTTAAACTGTGGCATGGTATCTCAGTGTGCTAGCACGATAAATCGGCATCAGTCCGGACTAGTACAAGCAGCCACACAAACATGTGCATGTGTAAGCAAGGATTATATCCTACCTAAATATTATCCTGGGGGAAGTTTTACTCTAGAGTATAGTATCTATAGGATTAAACATGCATGAGTATAGTATCTATAGGATTAAACATACTGGTATGAGTTCAAATTCACTAGGGAAAATCATCCTGACACTAGAGAATTTCATCCCCGCGATACAAAATAGGGTAGGAAAATATTCACTCTTACACATGCACATCGCTATATAAGTGCAATAATCTTGGACACAGCGTTATACCCAATTTCACCTCACCTTACCATATAAGATTTTCTATCAGTTAATATAATTTAAGCAATCTTTGCAAAATCTATGTTAATATTTCATGTCAATGATAAAATACAGAAATTGGCACCTTTTGTCTAGGACAAGGGAGATAGTTCCATGGATGTACATACAACTTCTTCCTTACAATGAATAAGGATGTGATGTACAGAGTTTGATGTGAAGCAGGAAGGTTAAAAACATGGGGATGATTCATGTTTATACAAGATTGAGTGATGATAGATTGATGTTTACACAACAGATAAGGTTCAAGTATTTACATATTGGAATATAAAGGATACCAAGGCATGTTAGTTAAAACAATAGTGATTGGTATGGACAAGTTGTTGGAAGCTAGTATTATGATCAGTATTATCTCTCTTTTATCCATAGGATGTTAGCACCTAACAGTATGCCTTGTTGACATATGCCTGTTTTGTTTCAGAGGGATGGAAGGATGACAACATACACTTCCAACATGATGGAACAAGTAAACAGCCCCAAAAGAACCCTACAATCCAAAAAACATTTTTCCAAGCCAAATTCAGTGACACAGAATTTTCCCGAGATTTCATAAAGCATGTGTATGTCCTGCATCCCAATCCAAATCAGTTTGTCTTGATACACTATCTAGGCAATGCATCCATATCCAAAGAGCCACCATGGCCAAGAAGAGCCAGCAAGTCCACTCTGGTCAAGCAAGGCCATTCTTCTACAGGCTGTGCCCCAGGGACATCAGGGTCAGTCAGTGACGGTGCTGGAGAGTGTCACAGCTCCTTTGACATCAATGTGGGTGAAGATGATGACTGTCCTGTTCCACCAAAGAAACAAAAACTGCAAGGTAAACGAACTGAATTAAAACGTAAAGTTGAAGCTATCCTAGCTGACTTTGTCAATCCTACACTATGGGAAGATGACAGAGATTTGAGAAATAAAGGCACACAGAGCAGCAGAAGTGTCTCTGACCAGATAGAAGATCTGGTGACCTCGGGGCAGTTTGCCTCCATTGTGGATAGACTTCTGTGCGATGGAAGTTGGCAGGTGAGACGAGAAGTGCGCTCCAGCACCAACCCATGCCTGTCTCTCTCGGAGCAAGTCATGCAGCTGTGGCCAGAGGATGTCCAGGATGCACGAGCCAGGCTGCAAGACTTGGAGGTGGTGTGCCTGCCTCAGTTTGAGGAGCTCCAACAGGAGACTCTGATGGCGCTTCTGTCGGCTGTGGTTGTAGGGGCACACAGAACAGACACACCAACCCTCAGCTTCATGTTCACCCTACAGCAATGGCCCGGCCACTTAGACCAGTCAGAGATTGAAGAGGTGGAGGTGGATGTCACAGCCGTGTACAGGGTCGGCGACATGACCATAGCAGGCAGCAGTCTTGCCACATTGCAGGGGAGGAAATGGCTGGATGACGATGTGAGTGCATTGCTTTTGAGTCAAACACTTCATGAAGTACATTGCATTGAACCCCACCACATCATGGGGTATATTGCATTGAACCCCACCACCTCATGGGATATATTGCATTGAATTCCACCACATCATGGGATGTATGTTGTATATTACATTCAACATTTACACGTAATATTGTATATTATATTCAACTCCTACACATTATGTTGTTTATTACATTCAACTCCTACACATTATGTTGTATATTCCATTCAACTCCTACACATTATGTTGTTTATTACATTCAACTCCTACACATTATGTTGTTTATTACATTCAACTCCTACACATTATGTTGTATATTATATTCAACTCCTACACATTATGTTTTATATTACATTTAACTCCCTACACATTATGTTGTATATTATATTCAACTCCTACACATTATGTTTTATATTACATTTAACTCCCTACACATTATGTTGTATATTACATTCAACTCCTACACATTATGTTTTATATTTACATTTAACTCCCTCCACATTATGTTGTATATTACATTTAACTCCTACACATTATGTTGTATATTACATTCAACTCCTACACTTTATGTTTTATATTACATTTAACTCCCTACACATTATGTTGTATATTACATTCAACTCCTACACATTATGTTGTATATTCAATTCAACTCCTACACATGTTTTATATTACATTTAACTCCCTACACATTATGTTGTATATTGCATTCAACATTTACACATAATGTTGTATATTACATTCAACTCCTACACATTATGTTTTATTTTTACATTTAACTCCCTCCACATTATGTTGTATATTACATTTAACTCCTACACATTATGTTGTATATTACATTCAACTCCTACACTTTATGTTTTATATTACATTCAACTCCTACACATTATGTTGTATATTACATTAAAACTCCTACACATTATGTTTTATATTACATTTAACTCCCTCCACATGATGTTTTATAATACATTTAACTCCCTACACATTATGTTGTATATTACATTCAACTCCAAATAATAACATTTTTCGTTGTGTTCATTCCTGTATTCTGATTAGCTGAATTGGTCACGTGTTATTGCATTTATTTCCCAATGAATGTAAAAAATTAAGCCACGCCCACCGAGACGCACTTTTTTTATTACTTCGGAATGTCGGGGAATCCCAATATTACAGCCAAGGGAATTCCCTTTCTGCTCACGTGTATCGTCATGCACAGGACATTTAGCGACTTTCATGCATATTCATTGTCCAAACAAACCTTTGAAACCGAAGGCCGAGAATGAATGAAACAGCAAACGTGCAGGCTCGCTCGCCTGTTTTTTTCCTGCTCGCCTCGGTTCAACTTTCATGTCTTCAGGTTTCCTTTCTAACCAGCATTTCTCCAACTGTGTTTTACCGTAATCAGGGAAGTAATGTTTGAATCAGGCAGTAAATGACCATGTTATTTGAAACAGCCGCCTTCTCTCGGACATATTTCTTCCGGTTCGTTACAGTCTGACTGTTGCAGTTCTTTTCGCCTCTTGCCTTAATTGACAGGTCCAATGAACATTGTTTTAATCCCACTCTCCGTTGATTGGCTACTGACTGTGTAGGCGTGTCAAGTTATGTGCATAAATTAAATGATCACCTGATTCATGTCACGCCACAGTATGTGTTCCTACACCTGGAATGTTTATCAATCTCGTCATTTTTTATATATATACAACTGTTTTTGGTTAAACTATTGTAGATAAAACATGTTTTATGCTGTCGAATTTAATTATAAGCATTGACTGTGAATTTTTTCCGGTTCATTGAGGTAGGAATCGAAAAACCAATGTGCAACTTTTGTAAGAATCCGCTACGCGGATTCATACAGTTTGCACACTGGTTTTTCGATTCATACCTCAATGAACCGAAAAAAATACACAGTCAATCCTTAACACATTATGTTGTATATTACATTCAACTCCTACACATTATGTTGTATATTACATTTAACTCCTACACATTATGTTTTATATTACATTCAACTCCCTACACATTATGTTGTATATTACATTCAACTCCTACACATTATGTTGTATATTACATTCAACTCCTACATATTATGTTTTATATTACATTCAACTCCTACACATTATGTTTTATATTACATTCAACTCCCTACACATTATGTTTTATATTACATTTAACTCCCTACACATTATGTTGTTTATTACATTCAACTCCTACATATTATGTTTTATAATACATTTAACTCCCTACACATTTTGTTGTATATTACATTCAACTCCTACACATTATGTTGTATATTACATTCAACTCCTATACATTATGTTGTATATTACATTCAACTCCTACACATGTTGTATATTACATTCAACTCCTACACATTATGTTGTATATTACATTTAACTCCTACATATTATGTACATAGTACAATATTAAGATTATATTTCTATTCCATTTCAGGTGATAGCGTGTTACCTATGCCTGCTGCGTGAGGGTTGTCAGCTGCGACACCACTGCTATGTGTTACCCTGCAAGCTGGCCGCACTGTGGGAGAGGAAACAGTTCAGGCAGTGGATGTATGAAGATGTATGTTCACCAGACCACTAATTGGTCCAGATATACAGAATACCGTAGATTATTGCCAGGCTAGGTGTCTCTGTTACAGGTGGATCTGACTGTGTTCACATGGCTAGATGTCTCTGTCACAGGAGGATCTGAGTGTGTTCACCTGGCTAGGTGTCTCTGTTACAGGAGGATCTGACTGTGTTCACCTGGCTAGTCGTCTCTGTTACAGGAGGATCTGAGTGTGTTCACATGGCTAGGTGTCTCTGTTATAGGAGGATCTGACTGTGTTCACCTGGCTAGGTGTCTCTGTTACAGGAGGATCTGACTGTGTTCACCTGGCTAGGTGTCTCTGTTACAGGAGGATCTGAGTGTGTTCACATGGCTAGGTGTCTCTGTTACAGGAGGATCTGACTGTGTTCACCTGGCTAGGTGTCTCTGTTACAGGAGGATCTGAGTATGTTCACATGGCTAGGTGTCTCTGTTACAGGAGGATCTGACTGTGTTCACCTGGTTAGGTGTCTCTGTTACAGGAGGATCTGAGTGTGTTCACATGGCTAGGTGTCTCTGTTACAGGAGGATCTGACTGTGTTCACATGGCTAGGTGTGTCTGTAACAGGAGGATCTGACTGTGTTCACCTGGCTAGGTGTCTCTGTTACACGAGGATCTGAGTGTGTTCACATGGCTAGGTGTCTCTGTTACAGGCGGATCTGACTGGCTAGGTGTCTCTGTTACAGGAGGATCTGAGTGTGTTCACCTGGCTAGGTGTCTCTGTTACAGGAGGATCTGAGTATGTTCACATGGCTAGGTGTCTCTGTTACAGGAGGATCTGACTGTGTTCACATGGCTGGCTAGGTGTCTCTGTTAAAGGGAGGATCTGACTGTGTTCACCTGGCTAGGTGTCTCTGTTACAGGAGGATCTGAGTATGTTCACATGGCTAGGTGTCTCTGTTACAGGAGGATCTGACTATGTTCACCTGCTAGGTGTCTCTGTTACAGGAGGATCTGACTGTGTTTACCTGGCTAGGTGTCTCTGTTACAGGAGGATCTGACTGTGTTCACATGGCTGGCTAGGTGTCTCTGTTAAAGGGAGGATCTGACTGTGTTCACCTGGCTAGGTGTCTCTGTTATAGGAGGATCTGACTGTGTTCACCTGGCTAGGTGTCTCTGTTACAGGAGGCTCTGACTGTGTTTACCTGGTGATGTGTCTCTGTTACAGGTGGATCTGACTGTGTTCACCTGGCTAGGTGTCTCTGTTACAGGTGGATCTGACTGTTCAAATGGCTGGCTAGGTGTCTCTGTTACAGGAGGATCTGACTGTGTTCACCTGGCTAGGTGTCTCTGTTACAGGTGGATCTGACTGTGTTCACATGGCTAGGTGTCTCTGTTACAGGAGGATCTGACTGTGTTCACATGGCTGACTAGGTGTCTCTGTTACAGGAGGATCTGACTGTGTTCACCTGGCTAGGTGTCTCTGTTACAGGAGGATCTGACTGTGTTCACATGGCTGGCTAGGTGTCTCTGTTAAAGGGAGGATCTGACTGTGTTCACCTGGCTAGGTGTCTCTGTTACAGGAGGATCTGACTGTGTTCACCTGGCTAGGTGTCTCTGTTACAGGAGGCTCTGACTGTGTTTACCTGGTGATGTGTCTCTGTTACAGGTGGATCTGACTGTGTTCACATGGCTAGGTGTCTCTGTTACAGGAGGATCTGACTGTGTTCACATGGCTGACTAGGTGTCTCTGTTACAGGAGGATCTGACTGTGTTCACCTGGCTAGGTGTCTCTGTTACAGGAGGATCTGACTGTGTTCACCTGGCTAGGTGTCTCTGTTACAGGTGGATCTGACTGTGTTCACCTGGCTAGGTGTCTCAGTTACAGGAGGATCTGAGTGTGTTCACATGGCTAGGTGTCTCTGTTACAGGAGGATCTGACTGTGTTCACATGGCTGACTAGGTGTCTCTGTTACAGGAGGATCTGACTGTGTTCACCTGGCTAGGTGTCTCAGTTACAGTGTGTTCACATGGCTAGGTGTCTCTGTTACAGGAGGATCTGACTGTGTTCACATGGCTGGCTAGGTGTCTCTGTTACAGGAGGATCTGACTGTGTTCACCTGGCTAGGTGTCTATGTTACAGGTGGATCTGACTGTGTTCACCTTGCTAGGTGTCTATGTTACAGGAGGATCTGACTGTGTTCACCTTGCTAGGTGTCTATGTTACAGGCGGATCTGACTGGCTAGGTGTCTCTGTTACAGGCAGATCTGACTGTGTTCACCTGGCTAGGTGTCTCTGTTACAGGTGGATCTGACTGTGTTCACCTGGCTAGGTATCTCTGTTACAGGATGATCTGACTGTGTTCACCTGGCTAGGTATCTGTGTTACAGGTGGATCTGACTGTGTTCACCTGGCTAGGTGTCTCTGTTACAGGTGGATCTGACTGTGTTCACCTGGCTAGGTGTCTCTGTTACAGGAGGATCTGACTGTGTTCACCTGGCTAGGTGTCTCTGTTACAGGAGAATCTGAGTATGTTCACATGGCTAGGTGTCTCTGTTACAGGAGGATCTGACTGTGTTCACCTGGTTAGGTGTCTCTGTTACCTGTGGGAGGATCTGACTGTGTTCACATGGCTAGGTGTCTATGTTACAGGAGGATCTGACTGTGTTCACATGGCTAGGTGTGTCTGTTACAGGAGGATCTGACTGTGTTCACCTGGCTAGGTGTCTGTTACAGGAGGATCTGAGTGTGTTCACATGGCTAGGTGTCTCTGTTACAGGAGGATCTGAGTGTGTTCACATGGCTAGGTGTCTCTGTTACAGGCGGATCTGACTGGCTAGGTGTCTCTGTTACAGGAGGATCTGACTGTGTTCACCTGGCTAGGTGTCTCTGTTACAGGAGGATCTGAGTATGTTCACCTGGCTAGTCGTCTCTGTTACGGGAGGATCTGACTGTGTTCACATGGCTGGCTAGGTGTCTCTGTTAAAGGGAGGATCTGACTGTGTTCACCTGGCTAGGTGTCTCTGTTACAGGAGGATCTGAGTATGTTCACCTTGCTAGGTGTCTCTGTTACAGGAGGATCTGACTGTGTTCACCTTGCTAGGTGTCTCTGTTACAGGAGGATCTGACTGTGTTTACCTGGCTAGGTGTCTCTGTTACAGGAGGATCTGACTGTGTTCACATGGCTGACTAGGTGTCTCTGTTACAGGAGGATCTGACTGTGTTCACCTTGCTAGGTGTCTCTGTTACAGGAGGATCTGACTGTGTTTACCTGGCTAGGTGTCTCTGTTACAGGAGGATCTGAGTATGTTCACCTGGCTAGGTGTCTATGTTACAGGAGGATCTGACTTAGTTCACCTGGCTAGGTGTCTATGTTACAGGTGGATCTGACTGTGTTCACCTTGCTAGGTGTCTCTGTTACAGGTGGATCTGACTGTGTTCACATGGCTAGGTGTCTCTGTTACAGGAGGATCTGACTGTGTTCACATGGCTGACTAGGTGTCTCTGTTACAGGAGGATCTGACTGTCTTCACCTGGCTAGGTGTCTCTGTTACAGGAGGATCTGACTGTGTTCACATGGCTGGCTAGGTGTCTCTGTTAAAGGAGGATCTGAGTATGTTCACATGGCCAGGTGTCTCTGTTACAGGCGGATCTGACTGGCTAGGTGTCTCTGTTAAAGGAAGATCTGACTGTGTTCACCTGGCTAGGTGTCTCTGTTACAGGAGGATCTGAGTATGTTCACATGGCGAGGTGTCTCTGTTACAGGAGGATCTGACTGTGTTCACATGGCTGGCTAGGTGTCTCTGTTAAAGGGAGGATCTGACTGTATTCACCTGGCTAGGTGTCTCTGTTACAGGAGGATCTGAGTGTGTTCACATGGCTAGGTGTCTCTGTTACAGGAGGATCTGACTGTGTTCACCTTGCTAGGTGTCTCTGTTACAGGAGGATCTGACTGTGTTTACCTGGCTAGGTGTCTCTGTTACAGGAGCATCTGACTGTGTTCACCTGGCAAGGTGTCTCTGTTACAGGAGGATCTGACTGTGTTCACATGGCTGACTAGGTGTCTCTGTTACAGGTGGATCTGACTGTGTATGGCTGACTAGGTGTCTCTGTTACAGGTGGATCTGACTGTGTTCACCTGGCTAGGTGTCTCTGTTACAGGAGGATCTGACTGTGTTCACATGGCTGGCTAGGTGTCTCTGTTAAAGGGAGGATCTGACTGTGTTCACCTGGCTAGGTGTCTCTGTTACAGGAGGCTCTGACTGTGTTTACCTGGTGATGTGTCTCTGTTACAGGTGCATCTGACTGTGTTCACCTGGCTAGGTGTCTCTGTTACAGGAGGATCTGACTGTGTTCACCTGGCTAGGTGTCTCTGTTACAGGAGGATCTGACTGTGTTCACATGGCTGGCTAGGTGTCTCTGTTAAAGGGAGGATCTGACTGTGTTCACCTGGCTAGGTGTCTCTGTTACAGGAGGATCTGACTGTGTTCACCTGGCTAGGTGTCTCTGTTACAGGAGGCTCTGACTGTGTTTACCTGGTGATGTGTCTCTGTTACAGGAGGATCTGACTGTGTTCACATGGCTAGGTGTCTCTGTTACAGGTGGATCTGACTGTGTTCACATGGCTACGTGTCTCAGTTACAGGAGGATCTGAGTGTGCTCACATGGCTAGGTGTCTCTGTTACAGGAGGATCTGACTGTGTTCACCTGGCAAGGTGTCTCTGTTACAGGAGGATCTGACTGTTCAAATGGCTGGCTAGGTGTCTCTGTTACAGGAGGATCTGAGTGTGTTCACCTGGCTAGGTGTCTCTGTTACAGGTGGATCTGACTGTGTTCACATGGCTACGTGTCTCTGTTACAGGAGGATCTGAGTGTGCTCACATGGCTAGGTGTCTCTGTTACAGGAGGATCTGACTGTGTTCACCTGGCAAGGTGTCTCTGTTACAGGAGGATCTGAGTATGTTCACATGGCTAGGTGTCTCTGTTACAGGAGGATCTGACTGTGTTCACATGGCTGGCTAGGTGTCTCTGTTAAAGGGAGGATCTGACTGTGTTCACCTGGCTAGGTGTCTCTGTTACAGGAGGATCTGAGTGTGTTCACATGGCTAGGTGTCTCTGTTACAGGAGGATCTGACTGTGTTCACATGGCTAGGTGTCTCTGTTACAGGAGGACCGGACTGTGTTCACCTGGCTAGGTGTCTCTGTTACAGGAGGATCTGACTGTGTTCACCTGGCTAGGTGTCTCTGTTACAGGAGGCTCTGACTGTGTTTACCTGGTGATGTGTCCCTGTTACAGGTGGATCTGACTGTGTTCACATGGCTAGGTGTCTCTGTTACAGGTGGATCTGACTGTTCAAATGGCTGGCTAGGTGTCTCTGTTACAGGAGGATCTGACTGTGTTCACCTGGCTAGGTGTCTCTGTTACTGGTGGATCTGACTGTGTTCACATGGCTAGGTGTCTCAGTTACAGGAGGATCTGAGTGTGTTCACATGGCTAGGTGTCTCTGTTACAGGAGGATCTGACTGTGTTCACATGGCTGACTAGGTGTCTCTGTTACAGGAGGATCTGACTGTGTTCACCTGGCTAGGTGTCTCTGTTACAGGAGGATCTGACTGTGTTCACCTGGCTAGGTGTCTCTGTTACAGGTGGATCTGACTGTGTTCACCTGGCTAGGTGTCTCAGTTACAGGAGGATCTGAGTGTGTTCACATGGCTAGGTGTCTTTGTTACAGGAGGATCTGCCTGTGTTCACATTGCTGACTAGGTGTCTCTGTTACAGGAGGATCTGACTGTGTTCACCTGGCTAGGTGTCTCTGTTACAGGAGGATCTGAGTGTGTTCACATGGCTAGGTGTCTCTGTTACAGGAGGATCTGACTGTGTTCACCTGGCTAGGTGTCTCTGTTACAGGAGGATCTGACTGTGTTCACATGGCTGACTAGGTGTCTCTGTTACAGGAGGATCTGACTGTGTTCACATGGCTGGTTAGGTGTCTTTGTTACAGGAGGATCTGACTGTGTTCACCTTGCTAGGTGTCTCTGTTACAGGAGGACCTGACTGTGTTTACCTGGCTAGGTGTTCTGTTACAGGTGGATCTGACTGTGTTCACCTGGTGATGTGTCTCTGTTACAGGAGGATCTGACTGTGTTCACCTGGCTAGGTGTCTCTGTTACAGGCGGATCTGACTGGCTAGGTGTCTCTGTTACAGGCGGATCTGACTGGCTAGGTGTCTCTGTTACAGGCGGATCTGACTGGCTAGGTGTCTCTGTTACAGGCAGATCTGACTGTGTTCACCTGGCTAGGTGTCTCTGTTACAGGCGGATCTGACTTGCTAGGTGTCTCTGTTACAGGCAGATCTGACTGTGTTCACCTGGCTAGGTGTCTCTGTTACAGGTGGATCTGACTGTGTTCACCTGGCTCCTGATGCCAGTGTGTGTGGCAGACAGTCACTGGATGCTTCTTGTTGCCAATGTCAGGGAAAGGACAGTGGGTGTCATCGATTCAAGACCGTCAGATCAAACATCCAAGTATATTTCACACTGGAGGTAAGTATTCATGTGGATGTCTTTTACTCTCTAGTACATGGCAGGTATTACAAATAATAGAATGATAGAGTCGCGAAGCCATGGTAGACCAATATATATGTAGCCAGTACATGGTGTATACATGATGTGTGGTGGGTTACAGACAGTACATGGTGTATACATGATGTGTGGTGGGTTGTAGACAGTACATGGTGTATACATGGTGTGTGGTGGGTTGTAGACAGTACATGGTGTATACATGATGTGTGGTGGGTTGCAGACAGTACATGGTGTATACATGGTGTGTGGTGGGTTGTAGACAGTACATGGTGTGTGGTGGGTTGCAGACAGTACATGATGTGTGGTGGGTTGCAGACAGTACATGGTGTATACATGGTGTGTGGTGGGTTACAGACAGTACATGGTGTATACATGGTGTGTGGTGGGTTGTAGACAGTACATGGTGTATACATGGTGTGTGGTGGGTTACAGACAGTACATGGTGTATACATGATGTGTGGTGGGTTGTAGACAGTACATGGTGTATACATGATGTGTGGTGGGTTGTAGACAGTACATGGTGTATACATGATGTGTGGTGGGTTGCAGACAGTACATGGTGTATACATGGTGTGTGGTGGGTTGTAGACAGTACATGGTGTGTGGTGGGTTGCAGACAGTACATGATGTGTGGTGGGTTGCAGACAGTACATGGTGTATACATGGTGTGTGGTGGGTTACAGACAGTACATGGTGTATACATGGTGTGTGGTGGGTTGTAGACAGTACATGGTGTATACATGGTGTGTGGTGGGTTACAGACAGTACATGGTGTATACATGATGTGTGGTGGGTTGTAGACAGTACATGGTGTATACATGGTGTGTGGTGGGTTACAGACAGTACATGGTGTATACATGATGTGTGGTGGGTTGTAGACAGTACATTGTGTATACATGATGTGTGGTGGGTTGTAGACAGTACATGGTGTATACATGATGTGTGGTGGGTTGCAGACAGTACATGGTGTATACATGGTGTGTGGTGGGTTGCAGCCAGTACATGGTGTGTGGTGGGTTGCAGACAGTACATGATGTGTGGTGGGTTGCAGACAGTACATGGTGTATACATGGTGTGTGGTGGGTTAGAGACAGTACATGGTGTATACATGGTGTGTGGTAGGTTGCAGACAGTACATGGTGTGTGGTAGGTTGCAGACAGTACATGGTGTGTGGTGGGTTGCAGACAGTACATGGTGTATACATGGTGTGTGGTGGGTTGCAGACAGTACATGGTGTATACATGATGTGTGGTGGGTTACAGACAGTACATGGTGTATACATGATGTGTGGTGGGTTGTAGACAGTACATGGTGTATACATGATGTGTGGTGGGTTGTAAACAGTACATGGTGTATACATGATGTGTGGTGGGTTGCAGACAGTACATGGTGTATACATGGTGTGTGGTGGGTTGCAGACAGTACATGGTGTGTGGTGGGTTGCAGACAGTACATGATGTGTGGTGGGTTGCAGACAGTACATGGTGTATACATGGTGTGTGGTGGGTTACAGACAGTACACGGTGTATACATGGTGTGTGGTGGGTTGCAGACAGTACATGGTGTGTGGTAGGTTGCAGACAGTACATGGTGTGTGGTGGGTTGCAGACAGTACATGGTGTATACATGGTGTGTGGTGGGTTGCAGACAGTACATGGTGTATACATAGTGTGTGGTAGGTTGCAGACAGTACATGGTGTATACATTATGTGTGGTGGGTTGCAGACAGTACATGGTGTGTGGTAGGTTGCAGACATTACATAGTGTGTGGTGGGTTGCAGACAGTACATGGTGTGTGGTAGGTTGCAGACAGTACATGGTGTATACATGGTGTGTGGTGGGTTGCAGACAGTACATAGTGTATACATGGTGTGTGGTGGGTTGCAGACAGTACATGGTGTATACATAGTGTGTGGTAGGTTGCAGACAGTACATGGTGTGTGGTGGGTTGCAGACAGTACATGATGTGTGGTGGGTTACAGACAGTACATGGTGTATACATGGTGTGTGGTGGGTTGCAGACAGTACATGGTGTGTGGTGGGTTGCAGACAGTACATGGTGTATACATGGTGTGTGGTGGGTTACAGACAGTACATGATGTGTGGTGGGTTGCAGACAGTACATGGTGTATACATGATGTGTGGTGGGTTACAGACAGTACATGGTGTATACATGGTGTGTGGTGGGTTGTAGACAGTACATGGTGAATACATGATGTATGGTGGGTTGCAGACAGTACATAGTGTATACATGATGTGTGGTGGGTTACACACAGTACATGGTGTATACATGGTGTGTGGTGGGTTGCAGACAGTAAATGGTGTATACATGATGTATGGTGGGTTGCAGACAGTACATGGTGTATACATGATGTATGGTGGGTTGCAGACAGTACATGGTGTAAACATGATGTGTGGTGGGTTGTAGACAGTACATGGTGTATACATGATGTGTGGTTGGTTGCAGACAGTACATGGTGTATACATGGTGTGTGGTGGGTTACAGACAGTACATGGTGTATACATGATGTGTGGTGGGTTGTAGACAGTACATGGTGTATACATGATGTGTGGTGGGTTGCAGACAGTACATGGTGTATACATGATGTGTGGTGGGTTGCAGACAGTAGATGGTGTATACATGATGTGTGGTGGGTTACAGACAGTACATGGTGTATACATGATGTGTGGTGGGTTGTAGACAGTACATGGTGTATACATGGTGTGTGGTGGGTTGCAGACAGTACATGGTGTATACATGGTGTGTGGTGGGTTACAGACAGTACATGGTGTATACATGATGTGTGGTGGGTTGTAGACAGTACATATTGTATACATGATGTGTGGTGGGTTACAGACAGTACATGGTGTATACATGGTGTGTGGTGGGTTGTAGACAGTACATGGTGTATACATGGTGTGTGGTAGGTTGTAGACAGTACATGGTGTATACATGATGTTTGGTGGGTTGTAGACAGTACATGGTGTATACATGATGTGTGGTGGGTTGCAGACAGTACATGGTGTATACATGGTGTGTGGTGGGTTACAGACAGTACATGGTGTATACATGATGTGTGGTGGGTTGTAGACAGTACATGGTGTATACATGATGTGTGGTGGGTTGCAGACAGTACATGGTGTATACATGGTGTGTGGTGGGTTGCAGACAGTACATGGTGTATACATGATGTGTGGTGGGTTACAGACAGTACATGGTGTATACATGATGTGTGGTGGGTTGCAGACAGTACATGGTGTATACATGGTGTGTGGTGGGTTGTAGACAGTACATGGTGTATACATGATGTGTGGTGGGTTGCAGACAGTACATGGTGTATACATGGTGTGTGGTGGGTTACAGACAGTACATGGTGTATACATGATGTGTGGTGGGTTGCAGACAGTACATGGTGTATACATGGTGTGTGGTGGGTTGTAGACAGTACATGGTGTATACATGATGTGTGGTGGGTTACAGACAGTACATGGTGTATACATGATGTGTGGTGGGTTGCAGACAGTACATGGTGTATACATGGTGTGTGGTGGGTTGTAGACAGTACATGGTGTATACATGATGTGTGGTGGGTTGCAGACAGTACATGGTGTATACATGGTGTGTGGTGGGTTACAGACAGTACATGGTGTATACATGATGTGTGGTGGGTTGCAGACAGTACATGGTGTATACATGGTGTGTGGTGGGTTGTAGACAGTACATGGTGTATACATGATGTGTGGTGGGTTGCAGACAGTACATGGTGTATACATGGTGTGTGGTGGGTTACAGACAGTACATGGTGTATACATGATGTGTGGTGGGTTGTAGACAGTACATAGTGTATACATGGTGTGTGCTGGGTTGCAGACAGTATATAGTGTATACATGGTGTGTGGTGGGTTACAGACAGTACATGGTGTATACATGATGTGTGGTGGGTTGTAGACAGTACATGGTGTATACATGATGTGTGGTGGGTTGCAGACAGTACATGGTGTATACATGGTGTGTGGTGGGTTGCAGACAGTACATGGTGTATACATGATGTGTGGTGGGTTACAGACAGTACATGGTGTATACATGATGTGTGGTGGGTTGCAGACAGTACATGGTGTATACATGGTGTGTGGTGGGTTGTAGACAGTACATGGTGTATACATGATGTGTGGTGGGTTGCAGACAGTACATGGTGTATACATGGTGTGTGGTGGGTTACAGACAGTACATGGTGTATACATGATGTGTGGTGGGTTGCAGACAGTACATGGTGTATACATGGTGTGTGGTGGGTTGTAGACAGTACATGGTGTATACATGATGTGTGGTGGGTTGCAGACAGTACATGGTGTATACATGGTGTGTGGTGGGTTACAGACAGTACATGGTGTATACATGATGTGTGGTGGGTTGTAGACAGTACATAGTGTATACATGGTGTGTGCTGGGTTGCAGACAGTATATAGTGTATACATGGTGTGTGGTGGGTTGCAGACTGTACATAGTGTATACATGGTGTTTGGTAGGTTACAGACAGTACATGGTGTATACATGATGTGTGGTGGGTTGTAGACAGTACATGGTGTATACATGGTGTGTGCTGGGTTGCAGACAGTATATAGTGTATACATGGTGTGTGGTGGGTTGCAGACAGTGCATAGTGTATACATGGTGTTTGGTAGGTTACAGACAGTACATGGTGTATACATGATGTGTGGTGGGTTGTAGACAGTACATGGTGTGTGGTGGGTTGCAGACAGTACATGGTGTGTGGTGGGTTGCAGACAGTACATGGTGTGTGGTGGGTTGCAGACAGTTCATGCAGTATACATGGTGTGTGGTGGGTTGCAGACAGTACATGGTGTGTGGTGGGTTGCAGACAGTACATGGTGTGTGGTGGGTTGTAGACAGTACATGATGTGTACATGGTGTGTGGTGGGTTGCAGACAGTACATGGTGTGTACATGGTGTGTGGTGGGTTGCAGACAGTACATGGTGTGTGGTGGGTTGCAGACAGTTCATGTAGTATACATGGTGTGTGGTGGGTTGCAGACAGTACATGGTGTGTGGTGGGTTGCAGACAGTTCATGTAGTATACATGGTGTGTTGTGGGTTGCAGACAGTACATGGTGTGTGGTGGGTTGCAGACAGTACATTGTGTGTGGTTGGTTGCAGACAGTTCATGTAGCATACATGGTGTGTGGTGGGTTGCAGACAGTACATGGTGTGTGGTGGGTTGCAGACAGTACATGGTGTGTGGTGGGTTGCAGACAGTTCAAGTAGTATACATGGTGTGTGGTGGGTTGCAGACAGTACATGGTGTGTGGTGGGTTGCAGACAGTACATGGTGTATGGTGGGTTGTAGACAGTACATGATGTGTACATGGTGTGTGGTGGGTTGCAGACAGTACATGGTGTGTGGTGGGTTGCAGACAGTACATTGTGTGTGGTTGGTTGCAGACAGTTCATGTAGTATACATGGTGTGTGGTGGGTTGCAGACAGTACATGGTGTGTGGTGGGTTGCAGACAGTACATGGTGTGTGGTGGGTTGCAGACAGTTCATGTAGTATACATGGTGTGTGGTGGGTTGCAGACAGTACATGGTGTGTGGTCGGTTGCAGACAGTACATGGTGTGTGGTGGGTTGCAGACAGTTCATGTAGTATACATGGTGTGTGGTGGGTTGCAGACAGTACATGGTGTGTTGTGGGTTGCAGACAGTTCTTGTGGTATACATGGTGTGTGGTGGGTTGCAGACAGTACATGATGTGTGATGGGTTGCAGACAGTACATGATGTGTGGTAGGATGCAGACAGTACATGGTGTGTGGTGGGTTGTAGACAGTACATGGTGTGTGGTGGGTTGCAGACAGTACATGGTGTATACATGATGCGTGGTGGGTTGCAGACAGTACATGGTGTGTGGTGGGTTGCAGACAGTACATGATGTGTGGTAGGTTGCAGACAGTACATGGTGTGTGGTAGGTTGTAGACAGTACATGGTGTGTGGTGGGTTGCAGACAGTACATGGTGTATACATGATGTGTGGTGGGTTGCAGACAGTACATGGTGTGTGGTGGGTTGCAGACAGTACATGGTGTGTGGTGGGTTGCAGACAGTACATGGTGTGTGGTGGGTTGCAGACAGTACATGATGTGTGGTGGGTTACAGACAGTACATGGTGTGTGGTGGGTTGCAGACAGTACATGGTGTATAAATGATGTGTGGTGGGTTGCAGACAGTACATGGTGTGTGGTGGGTTGCAGACAGTACATGGTGTATACATGGTGTGTGGTGGGTTGCAGACAGTACATGATGTGTGGTAGGTGGCAGACAGTACATGGTGTATACATGATGTGTGGTGGGTTGCAGACAGTACATGGTGTATACATGATGTGTGGTGGGTTGCAGACAATACATGGTGTATACATGATGTGTGGTGGGTTGCAGACAGTACATGATGTGTGGTAGGTGGCAGACAGTACATGGTGTGTGGTGGGTTGCAGACAATACATGGTGTATACATGATGTGTGGTGGGTTGTAGACAGTACATGGTGTATACATGGTGTGTGGTGGGTTGTAGACAGTACATGGTGTGTACATGATGTGTGGTGGGTTGCAGACAATACATGGTGTATACATGATGTGTGGTGGGTTGCAGACAGTACATGATGTGTGGTGGGTTGCAGACAGTACATGGTGTGTGGTGGGTTGCAGACAATACATGGTGTATACATGATGTGTGGTGGGTTGCAGACAGTACATGATGTGTGGTAGGTGGCAGACAGTACATGGTGTGTGGTAGGTTGCAGACAGTACATGATGTGTGGTGGGTTGCAGACAGTACATGATGTGTGGTGGGTTGCAGACAGTACATGGTGTGTGGTGGGTTGCAGACAATACATGGTGTATACATGATGTGTGGTGGGTTGCAGACAGTTCATGGTGTATACATGGTGTGTGGTGGGTTGCAGACAGTAGATGGTGTATAAATGATGTGTGGTGGGTTGCAGACAGTACATGGTGTGTGGTGGGTTGCAGACAGTACATGGTGTATACATGGTGTGTGGTGGGTTGCAGACAGTACATGATGTGTGGTAGGTGGCAGACAGTACATGGTGTATACATGATGTGTGGTGGGTTGCAGACAGTACATGGTGTATACATGATGTGTGGTGGGTTGCAGACAATACATGGTGTATACATGATGTGTGGTGGGTTGCAGACAGTACATGATGTGTGGTAGGTGGCAGACAGTACATGGTGTGTGGTGGGTTGCAGACAATACATGGTGTATACATGATGTGTGGTGGGTTGTAGACAGTACATGGTGTATACATGGTGTGTGGTGGGTTGTAGACAGTACATGGTGTGTACATGATGTGTGGTGGGTTGCAGACAATACATGGTGTATACATGATGTGTGGTGGGTTGCAGACAGTACATGATGTGTGGTGGGTTGCAGACAGTACATGGTGTGTGGTGGGTTGCAGACAATACATGGTGTATACATGATGTGTGGTGGGTTGCAGACAGTACATGATGTGTGGTAGGTGGCAGACAGTACATGGTGTGTGGTAGGTTGCAGACAGTACATGATGTGTGGTGGGTTGCAGACAGTACATGATGTGTGGTGGGTTGCAGACAGTACATGGTGTGTGGTGGGTTGCAGACAATACATGGTGTATACATGATGTGTGGTGGGTTGCAGACAGTTCATGGTGTATACATGGTGTGTGGTGGGTTGCAGACAGTAGATGGTGTGTGGTGGGTTACATACAGTACATGGTGTATACATGGTGTGTGGTGGGTTGCAGACAGTTCATGGTGTGTGGTGGGTTACATACAGTACATGGTGTATACATGGTGTGTGGTGGGTTGCAGACAGTACATGGTGTATACATGGTGTGTGGTGGGTTGCAGACAGTACATGGTGTATACATGGTGTGTGGTGGGTTGCAGACAGTACATGGTGTGTACATGGTGTGTGGTGGGTTGCAGACAGTACATGGTGTGTACATGATGTGTGGTGGGTTGCAGACAGTACATGGTGTGTACATGGTGTGTACATGGTGTATACATGGTGTGTGGTGGGTTGCAGACAGTACATGGTGTATACATGGTGTGTGGTGGGTTGCAGACAGTACATGGTGTATACATGATGTGTGGTGGGTTGCAGACAGTACATGGTGTGTACATGGTGTGTGGTGGGTTGCAGACAGTACATGGTGTGTACATGGTGTATGGTGGGTTGCAGACAGTACATGGTGTGTGGTGGATTGCAGACAGTACATGGTGTGTGGTTGGTTGCAGACAGTACATGGTGTGTGGTGGGTTGCAGACAGTACATGGTGTGTGGTGGGTTGCAGACAGTACATGGCAGTGAGGAGTGAGGAGACCGGACAGATTTTGACAAGATGGAGGGCGAGGCAGTACAAGACACTTCCACAGACAGACACTGACAGCTGTGGAGTCCATGTCCTGATGGTAGGCAGTACACCTGTACTTAACTAGAGAATCTGGTGAGAGGTAGCCTTTCATAACTTCCTGGATGGGAAGTCCAGTACATTTAGGTAATTGCTCAATGATGAAACAGTGGAACCTGAGGAAATCATTGATCACTGTTCTACCTCATGCTCTGTTCATAATTAACAAACTTGATTGATAGAAACATGTTGATCTCAAATGGATAGGTATTTATCCTTGGTTGTTTAGATACATTATCTAGGCCATGTCACTGTAGTGTGTTTAGATACATAATCTAGGCCATGTCACTGTAGTGTGTTTAGATACATTATCTAGGCCATGTCACGGTAGTGTGTTTAGATACATTATCTAGGCCATGTCACGGTAGTGTGTTTAGATACATTATCTAGGCCATGTCACGGTAGTGTGTTTAGATACATTATCTAGGCCATGTCACTGTAGTGTGTTTAGATACATTATCTAGGCCATGTCACGGCAGGGTGTTTAGATACATTATCTAGGCCATGTCACGGTAGTGTGTTTAGATACATTATCTAGGCCATGTCACTGTAGTGTGTTTAGATACATTATCTAGGCCATGTCACGGTAGTGTTTTTAGATACATTATCTAGGCCATGTCACGCTAGTGTGTTTAGATACATTATCTAGGCCATGTCACGGTAGTGTGTTTAGATAAATTATCTAGGCCATGTCACGGTAGTGTGTTTAGATACATTATCTAGGCCATGTCACGGTAGTGTGTTTAGATACATTATCTAGGCCATGTCACTGTAGTGTGTTTAGATACATTATCTAGGCCATGTCACACTAGTGTGTTTAGATACATTATCTAGGCCATGTCACGGTAGTGTGTTTAGATACATTATCTAGGCCATGTCACGGTAGTGTGTTTAGATACATTATCTAGGCCATGTCACGGTAGTGTGTTTAGATACATTATCTAGGCCATGTCACGGTAGTGTGTTTAGATACATTATCTAGGCCATGTCACGGTAGTGTGTTTAGATACATTATCTAGGCCATGTCACGCTAGTGTGTTTAGATACATTATCTAGGCCATGTCACGCTAGTGTGTTTAGATACATTATCTAGGCCATGTCACGGTAGTGTGTTTAGATACATTATCTAGGCCATGTCACGGTAGTGTGTTTAGATACATTATCTAGGCCATGTCACGGTAGTGTGTTTAGATACATTATCTAGGCCATGTCACGGTAGTGTGTTTAGATACATTATTTAGGCCATGTCACGGTAGTGTGTTTAGATACATTATCTAGGCCATGTCACGCTAGTGTGTTTAGATACATTATCTAGGCCATGTCACGGTAGTGTGTTTAGATACATTATCTAGGCCATGTCACGGTAGTGTGTTTAGATACATTATCTAGGCCATGTCACGGTAGTGTGTTTAGATACATTATCTAGGCCATGTCACGGTAGTGTGTTTAGATACATTATCTAGGCCATGTCACGGTAGTGTGTTTAGATACATTATCTAGGCCATGTCACGGTAGTGTGTTTAGATACATTATCTAGGCCATGTCACGCTAGTGTGTTTAGATACATTATCTAGGCCATGTCACGGTAGTGTGTTTAGATACATTATCTAGGCCATGTCACGGTAGTGTGTTTAGATACATTATCTAGGCCATGTCACTGTAGTGTGTTTAGATACATTATCTAGGCCATGTCACGGTAGTGTGTTTAGATACATTATCTAGGCCATGTCACGGTAGTGTGTTTAGATACATTATTTAGGCCATGTCACGGTAGTGTGTTTAGATACATTATCTAGGCCATGTCACGGTAGTGTGTTTAGATACATTATCTAGGCCGTGTCACGGTAGTGTGTTTAGATACATTATCTAGGCCATGTCACGGTAGTGTGTTTAGATACATTATCTAGGCCATGTCACGGTAGTGTGTTTAGATACATTATCTAGGCCATGTCACGGTAGTGTGTTTAGATACATTATCTAGGCCATGTCACGGTAGTGTGTTTAGATACATTATTTAGGCCATGTCACGGTAGTGTGTTTAGATACATTATCTAGGCCATGTCACGCTAGTGTGTTTAGATACATTATCTAGGCCATGTCACGGTAGTGTGTTTAGATACATTATCTAGGCCATGTCACTGTAGTGTGTGTAGATACATTATCTAGGCCATGTCATGCTAGTGTGTTTAGATACATCATCTAGGCCATGTCACGGTAGTGTGTTTAGATACATTATCTAGGCCATGTCACGGTAGTGTGTTTAGATACATTATCTAGGCCATGTCACGGTAGTGTGTTTAGATACATTATCTAGGCCATGTCACGGTAGTGTGTTTAGATACATTATCTAGGCCATGTCACGCTAGTGTGTTTAGATACATTATCTAGGCCATGTCACGGTAGTGTGTTTAGATACATCATCTAGGCCATGTCACGCTAGTGTGTAAGTAACCAAGTCCTTGATCAGACGACCCAGAGGTTGAGAGCATGAGCAACTAACCCTACTAACAATTCACAATGTGTCAGGTGTAGCTAACTTTGATGGACTCATATGTGAATAAAGAATGAATTGCAAAACTGTTGTGGGCAGGATATCTACTCAACATACCGTTTTGTTTCTTTTAGTTCACATATTTTTAATCCCCATCAGCAAACGGACCGTTTCGTGAAGCTTCCTGTTTAGAATTGGTCTTCAGTAACCCATGCTTTTCATAAGAGGTGACTTACTGGATCAGGTGGTCAGACTCGCTGACTTGGTTGATGCATGTCATCGTATGCCAATTGCCTGGATCGATGCTCATGATGTCCATAACTGGATTGTCTGGTCCAAACTCCATAATTTACAGATTGATGTCATATAGCTGGAATATTGCTGAGAGTGATGTTAAACAACAAACAAACAAAGCATACGGACCAATAAATGTTCAATATTATTAATTTCAATTCCAATTATTCATTCATTGTTCACATTCAGTAGATATAATCTTTTCCTGTGAAGCACCCTCTTCCAGTTGGTTTAACATGAATGACTGTATAGACCTTCACGAACAGGCTGCTGAGACACTTCTGAAGGGCCAGCCCCCGTGTGTGATGAGGAACTGTCACGCGAGGAGATTCCGGTGCTACGCTCTACACAGACTACTGTCTCATGCCCACATGCAGGCTCTCAACACAGGGGGTACAGACTCCCCACAGATTGTCTGCATGGACTCTCCACACATGACAGGTCCTCAGTGTACTTCCAGTAGACCTTCCAGTCAGGGTAAGCGCCATCAGTCATCAGGAAGGTGTGTCTTGAGGTTTATCACCAGTGAGTGTACGGCATATTGCAAAATTTAGATTTCTGGTGTCTATCAAAGTGACTATGATCACATACTTCAGGCCTTTCTTGTTTTGGTTTGCAGAGTCTTTTAGTAACATTCTGGGTCCGGGGTTATAATAAAAATATAATTAGTCCCTTTATCTTTTTGGAATGAGAAAAGAAAGTATTCAAATTCCTATTTTTGACATCAGTCACACACTTCTATAATTACAAGCATAATTAACACTGCATGGTCATGTTTAAATGGATTTGGTTGTTGACTCAGTGTTCATTGTTTAGTCACAACTGAAATACTTTATATTCACATTTTGTTAAGCAACACTGCCAAGTTAGCATCTACATAAACAGAGAGTTGGTAAGTCTTCAATATAAGTTTGGCATGTTTTGTTTCTGACAATAGTTTTCCAACATCATCTCGTTCAGTCTTAGTAGGAATAATATCAGTCTCATGAGACCTTCCTCAAAAGAATCACGGTGTTTACATATAGGTAGGACCACGAGGACCCAGTGTCTAATCGTTGAAATGGTTAACTAAACCACGAGGACCCAGTGTCTAATCGTTGAAATGGTTAACTAAACCACGAGGACCCAGTGTCTAATCGTTGAAATGGTTAACTAAACCACGAGGACCCAGTGTCTAATTGTTGAAATGGTTAACTAAACCACGAGGACCCAGTGTCTAATTGTTGAAATGGTTAACTAAACCACGAGGACCCAGTGTCTAATCGTTGAAATGGTTAACTAAACCACGAGGACCCAGTGTCTAATTGTTGAAATGGTTAACTAAACAACGAGGACCCAGTGTCTAATCGTTGAAATGGTTAACTAAACCACGAGGACCCAGTGTCTAATCGTTGAAATGGTTAACTAAACCACGAGGACCCAGTGTCTAATTGTTGAAATGGTTAACTAAACCACGAGGACCCAGTGTCTAATTGTTGAAATGGTTAACTAAACCACGAGGACCCAGTGTCTAATCGTTGAAATGGTTAACTAAACCACGAGGACCCAGTGTCTAATTGTTGAAATGGTTAACTAAACAACGAGGACCCAGTGTCTAATCGTTGAAATGGTTAACTAAACAACGAGGACCCAGTGTCTAATTGTTGAAATGGTTAACTAAACCACGAGGACCCAGTGTCTAATTGTTGAAATGGTTAACTAAACCACGAGGACCCTGTGTCTAATTGTTGAAATGGTTAACTAAACCACGAGGACCCAGTGTCTAATCGTTGAAATGGTTAACTAAACCACGAGGAGTGTAGCTCAACTGTGAGAACACTGTGTTAGTTGGCCCTGCGTGTAGCACGTGATATCTGTCCCCTGAGCCTTTTGCACATACACCTTGCCCTTTGCCATTTGGGTTATAATTCAATTTGGACCAACTTGAGCACTTTTATCAATCACCTTAATATTACTTGCCCATGTTGATGGGCCTATTATGTGCAAACATAGCACTGAACAAGATAATAGTAATTTTGTTGCTATCTGTTCATTTTGTTGGACGAAAAGCTACCAAATCACAAGTACAGTACAAATACTAGAATGCATAGAGTAACATACTGTATAAAAATTGAATAAAACATACTTTGCAGTTCATAAATGGATAAGCCAGTGTCTTTATGTAAGTAAATATTTCGTTGTTAATTTCACACAATTTTTCCCATGTCACCATAACAGAACACAACTTTCGTTAGCCTTCCGTGCAGACTTCGCGGGCTCGAATCCTGCTGGTGACAAATGTTTCCATGAAATTGTTCTATCATCAAGATAAATGATAGGCAATAAAAGAAGTTCCGTCATTGCCAAGTGGTGTTTAACTAGCAATTCAGTTAGTTGGTCCACGGTCAAAGACAAAGGAGCCATGGTTTCAAGTGAAATTAGACAATATAACATGTCTGCTCCCAGAGGGTCTTTCAGGACTGAGTTCTAGTTCCTTATGTTGGTATTGACTAAACTCAATGACAATGAAAACATCAGTTTAGGCAAACAGTAAACACAGTATTATATACATGTATATAAAACCTACTGTCAGGGATCCCATAGCCCTGACAAAATGGCATGGAGTGAGAGAATATTCCAGGCTCGAAAAGGTTGAATTAATTTATTTACTTGATGGTACTAAACAAGAGAAGACTGCAGTCAAAGATCTCAAAGTTAGGCAAAAGATCATGGTCTGAAAGGTTTCTCAAGAAAGAGAACATTGAATATCAACCTATTGTTGAATCTGGCCCTGGAGAGTTAACACTGGTCCCATCAGACCACGTCACTGGCAGATGTCTGATGGGTGCAAGATGCATTGTCATGATTGTTAACATCCATTAGCTTCTGGAATGAAGTTAAATCAATTACAGTAAACTATGTTTGTAACGAACATACTTATAACGATTGATATAACAAATTATTTTGGGTCCCGTCCATTTGCTGTATATGTGCTTATAACAAACTACAGTTATAACAAACTAGAATTAGTGCTCCCTTTGAGTTGATTATAACTGTATATCTAACCAAATTAATGATCACTTGTATATCTTGAAGGGTATAAAAAATCTGTGTCTTAAGCTCAGATTCTGTAAAAGTAAAATGGAAGCAACAAATTCACCGATCCATATGTTAGGAGAAAACAAGAAGAAACAAGAGTTTGCCACTAACGTGGCTATATACCCCGCCGCTGTTGCAGAATTTATGACATAATTAAATCTAAACAAACCCTAAGCTCTTTTAACCGAGGTGGAATTTGTCATGGAAATTGTGAGAAAAAAAAGAAGAGTGTGGAACCTAAGTCCATCTTGTTGCCATGGAAACATAAAAAAACTTTTTTCTGAAATTTCTAAATAGCAAAAGGCACCAGTTCAGACCTGCATAGTTTCATGAAAAAATATTGAACAGTTTATGAGTTATGCTCCGGAAACGAAACATGACGTACGTACGGACTGACGGAAGGACGGAGCCCATTTCTATATCCCCCACCAACTTTGTTGGGCGTGGGATAATAACTGAATCGAGAAGTATAAGCTCATCTTTAGATACTGTAAATCTTGAACGTGGTGCGACATAAAGTGATTGTGGTTGGGTAACAACAGCCTTTACCATGTCTGGAACGTTTTGCGACAGGAAGTGATTGCGGGTGGGTAACAACAGCCTTAAATACGTCTGAAAAGTTTGGCGATATGAAGTGATTGTTGTGGGTAACAACAGCCTTAAATACGTCTGGAACGTTTTGTGACATGAACTGACTGCATGTAGGTAACAACAGCCTTTACTACGTCTGGAAAGTTTTGCGACAGGAAGTGATTGTTGTGGGTAACAACAGCCTTTACTACGTCTGGAACGTTTTGCAACATGAACTGATTGAGGGTGGGTAACAACAGACTTTACTACGTCTGGAACGTTTTGCGATATGAACTGATTGCAGGTGGGTAACAACAGCCTTACCTATGTCTGGAACATTTGTTACATGAACTGATTGCGTGGGTAACAACAGCCTTAACTACGTGTTGAGATGTGTTGTTGTTGGTGGCATTGTAAAACTATAGATGCATGTGTTGATGCAGGTGGCATTGTAAAACCATAGATGCATGTGTTGTTGCAGGTGGCATTGTAAAACTATAGATGTATGTGTTGTTGCAGGTAGCATTGTAAAACTGTAGATGCATGTGTTGTTGCAGGTGGCATTGTAAAACTATAGATGTATGTGTTGTTGCAGGTGGCATTGTAAAACTATAGATGCATGTGTTGATGCAGGTGGCATGGTAAAACTATAGATGCATGTGTTGATGCAGGTGGCATTGTAAAACTATAGATGTATGTGTTGTTGCAGGTGGCGTTGTAAAACTATAGATGCATGTGTTGTTGCAGGTGACATTGTAAAACTATAGATGTATGTGTTGTTGCAGGTGGCATTGTAAAACTATAGATGTATGTGTTGTTGCAGGTGGCATATTGTAAAACTATAGATGCATGTGTTTTTGCAGGTGGCATTGTAAAACTATAGATGTATGTGTTGTTGCAGGTGGCATTGTAAAACTGTAGATGTATGTGTTGTTGCAGGTGGCATTGTAAAACTATAGATGTATGTGTTGTTGCAGGTGGCATATTGTAAAACTATAGATGCATGTGTTTTTGCAGGTGGCATTGTAAAACTATAGATGTATGTGTTGTTGCAGGTGGCATGGTAAAACTATAGATGTATGTGTTGTTGCAGGTGGCATTGTAAAACTATAGATGTATGTGTTGTTGCAGGTGGCATTGTAAAACTATAGATGCATGTGTTGTTGCAGGCGGCATGGTAAAACTATAGATGTATGTGTTGTTGCAGGCGGCATGGTAAAACTATAGATGTATGTGTTGTTGCAGGTGGCGTTGTAAAACTATAGATGTATGTGTTGTTGCAGGTGGCATTGTAAAACTGTAGATGTATGTGTTGTTGATGGAGTGACAGTGTATAATAAGGGAAACACAGGATGTGAGGGATTATTTGTTTCATCATGTACTGGCTGGTTTGACAACATGTGGAAGTGAAATATGCCTCATTACATCTTTTGTTTGCTCTACAAAATTAATGTGCCTGTATATTGGAGAGATCTTGTAGATCTTGTAGAACTGCAGAAAGACAATTGTAGAGGTGTGGGCCAGACTGCTATTTTGGTTGATATGCCTGCAGAGGGGGAAGAGATGTTTTTGTTTCAGAATTAACAAAATAAAATGCCAGTACCATACATGCCAATAGAGCCACGGAGCCCTAATGCTGTGAAAAGCTATACCTATAAAACTCAGGAACATGTGGCTTTTGTGTATGGATATATAGTTGTCTGGTATGATGGTAATGTCATCCCACAGATGACATCCTTACCTTGTCAGCTTGTCATGTGATCAGAAGGTCCGTGATTCGAATCCTATCACGGGACTCAGAAACTTTATGGCCGCTACACTAACACTGATGATCCTGTAATTTATAGAGGTTCTGAAGCTGCAGTCGTAAAACTTACTTTTTAAAATCTATATCTATGATATAATATGATTGTGGAGATTATGTAAACGATTTACTTCATTATAGCATCATTTCCGCCTCAAGAGTTTTCATAAACTCTTGTTACGCTTACAAATCAAAATTAACAAAAAGGTTTTCCGAGTCTGTGTGGCGCTCTGAGCGAGGGATTAATGCTTAAGTCTTCAAAATAAGGGACAAACAACAAAATTGTTCCACATACTAGTTTATTACAAGTCTAGGTCACTATACATCGAACGATGTGTTTCAAGTCCCGTCACGACTGGTTACAAACCATGTGCAGAAATATAAGGAGACATTGTTCCAAGAGGAGCTTGTGTAATATCTGATAAACCAATGGAAGTATTAATACACCAATGATGGACCAAGCAAAATTCTTATGTGTCTTATTGACAAATCAGTACATATGAGCCAGAAAACACTGAATTTATGTTAAACTAAGAAAAATGCTTCACAACAGCAAAATTCGACGGGCACAATATTTAAATTACATAATTGGCGACCCGGAGTAAGTCTATCTGGCTAGCTTTCCAGACGTTCAATCTTCAATATACTTCTCAGAGGTGCAAAAGCTCAAAGCTAAACTTAGTCTGCCTCAACACTCGAGATTCATAAAATCAAAATGCTACAGTCCAAACAAAGGTGATAATACATTCCGCAACACTGTAGGCGTTAAACGCTTTCATAATCATAGTCTTCGAATATATCTGACACATCACTCGGTTGACACACTGGGTTCAAAGATAACACTAGCACATAGATTCTAGCAGAAAATGTCACCGTAAAACACACGCTATATCATTATGATAAACATGATAACCTAGACTAAAATGGTGTGACTGGGCAAAAACTAATGCAATTATCTCACCATACCGAAAACACGTGTGTGTACAGACAGATCCCGGCAAGCTAGCCCTCGGAGCCAGACGCTCACTAAAGCTTGTGCGGCACGCACAGCCTTAAGTAAACTTTTCCAGAAGGCCCGGATGCAAAAACACCCGTATGAAACGACGTACCATACTGTTCCAGTCGTTGCTAGGGTAATCAGTTCTATAAATTTCCGTTACATCTACAAGAAAGCAACAGATTAATTTCATGACAAACTGTAGACAAGGGGATACAATATGGTGATCTGGTTTGCCACTGATCCACGAAAGTGTTTCCAGATTTATCTTTGGCACTTATTACACCTTTAATATAAAAAAAATGAATAGATAACCATCTTATTAAAGAGTTGTTTTCGCTGTAAGTAATGATGAGTAGAGGAGTCAATAACACAATGTCACAGAGGCCCATGTATTGTCTCGTGTTTATATGCTGATGTGTTGCTGTGAGCCGACATGTACCAGGGAAGTGTTTGCATGAAAATTTCCTTTCATGATGGTGGGGATCAAGGGATCATTCTGACTGAACATACATATTTTTAGTTTTTCCATTTCAAATGATGATAAATACAGGATGCAATAGGGATAGAAACTTATCAACTTATCACTGATCAACTTATCTAGTTTTCTTGTTGTTGGTTTGAAATTAGCTTGTACATACATCAGCAAATATTTCGGTAATCACATTTTCAGGTTAACAATATTGATATTGAAGTGTGTTGGTTGTGTTTTTCTCTTCATAGAGTGGATGTTCTATCTTCGGATAAATAACAGTGAGAGATAATATATAGCCTATGTTGTTTTTACAGCAGCAGCATCAACAGCCCTCACTCCATTGTCAACCGTCTGTCGCCACCTCTACAGCAACAACAAGATCTTATTTGCTGCTCTTCTGCTGCTGGCCATGCAGGGTGGGGAGATGGAAGCAAGGCTCTGGAGCTTTCCCAGGAGAAGATATTTTGGTAATGATTATAATGATAGGAGGAGATGGGAGCAGTGGGACTGGGGACTGCAGATGAGTGGAGTGGAGGACCTCTCGAGGGCATACTCTTATAATGATATCAGTCAGTGCAGGGACATTCTAGAATGTAAATTATTAAGGTCTGATCTGTATGTCCAGTGCAAGCAGGAGCTGTTTCTGACTTTAAATACAATACTTGAAGAACAAACAGAACACATCATCAACACATTACCATTGCAGTTTGTCTATCAGCATGTGCATGTTCAACAACCTACAACCACCAGGACACTGTATGTGTTGATCCGTCCATGTCACTACCCGCTGCTGGCGAGGAGATTTGCTGCAGCAGTAGCAGCCCGGAGATACGCCCGTGTGTTCCGTCACCCAGCATGTAATGAACAAGAGTTTGTCCAGCATCTTGCTGCAGAGGTGAAGGAGCTGACATCAGCTGACAGACATATGATCCACAGCTCCACTGACACTGATGTTGGAGGCCCCTTTCTGTCCTGGCTGTGCTCCAGCAGGGAGAGATTCCTCTATGACAGTTTCTCTACACAGGACACCTCCTCTCTACAGGACTGTACACTGGAGGTGAAGGTCAGGTCAGCCCTTGCCTGCTGCCGGTCAGGTAATGTCCGGGTCCTGAAACAGCTGGTATGTGATGCGAATGTGGACATTGTAAGTGGACAGGTGACTGACAAGTCTGGGTCTACACCTCTACATGAAGCATCCTGGAGTGAGGCAGTGGTGAGATTACTACTGGACAAGAATGCTGATGTATCAGTGACTGACAAGTCTGGGTCTACACCTCTACATAAAGCATGTGAGAGTGGGAGTGAGGCAGTGGTGAGATTACTACTGGAGAAGAATGCTGATGTATCAGTGACTGACAAGTCTGGGTCTACACCTCTACATAAAGCATGTGAGAGTGGGAGTGAGGCAGTGGTGAGATTACTACTGGAGAAGAATGCTGATGTATCAGTGACTGACAAGTCTGGGTCTACACCTCTACATACAGCATGTGGGAGTGGGAGTGAGGCATTGGTGAGATTACTACTGGAGAAGAATGCTGATGTATCAGTGACTGACAAGTCTGGGTCTACACCTCTACATACAGCATGTGGGAGTGGGAGTGAGTTAGTGGTGAGATTACTACTGGAGAAGAATGCTGATGTATCAGTGACTGACATGTCTGGGTCTACACCTCTACTTAAAGCATGTGGGAGTGGGAGTGAGTCAGTGGTGAGATTACTACTGGAGAAGAATGCTGATGTATCAGTGGCTGATTGCTCGGGGTCTACACCTCTATTTAAAGCATGTGGTAGTGGGAGTGAGTCAGTGGTGAGATTACTACTGGAGAAGAATGCTGATGTATCAGTGACTGACATGTCTGGGTCTACACTTCTACATAAAGCATGTGGGAGTGGGAGTGAGTCAGTGGTGAGATTACTACTGGAGAAGAATGCTGATGTATCAGTGACTGACATGTATGGGTCTACACTTCTACATAAAGCATGTGGGAGTGGGAGTGAGTCAGTGGTGAGATTACTACTGGACAAGAATGCTGATGTATCAGTGGCTGATGATAATGGGTCTACACCTCTACATAAAGCATGTGAGAGTGGGAGTGAGGCAGTGGTGAGATTACTACTGGAGAAGAATGCTGATGTATCAGTGACTGACAAGTCTGGGTCTACACCTCTACATAAAGCATGTGGGAGTGGGAGTGAGTCAGTGGTGAGATTACTACTGGAGAAGAATGCTGATGTATCAGTGACTGACATGTCTGGGTCTACACCTCTACATAAAGCATGTGAGAGTGGGAGTGAGGCAGTGGTGAGATTACTACTGGAGAAGAATGCTGATGTATCAGTGACTGACAAGTCTGGGTCTACACCTCTACATACAGCATGTGGGAGTGGGAGTGAGGCATTGGTGAGATTACTACTGGAGAAGAATGCTGATGTATCAGTGACTGACAAGTCTGGGTCTACACCTCTACATACAGCATGTGGGAGTGGGAGTGAGTCAGTGGTGAGATTACTACTGGAGAAGAATGCTGATGTATCAGTGACTGACATGTCTGGGTCTACACCTCTACTTAAAGCATGTGGGAGTGGGAGTGAGTCAGTGGTGAGATTACTACTGGAGAAGAATGCTGATGTATCAGTGGCTGATTGCTCGGGGTCTACACCTCTATTTAAAGCATGTGGGAGTGGGAGTGAGTCAGTGGTGAGATTACTACTGGAGAAGAATGCTGATGTATCAGTGACTGACATGTCTGGGTCTACACTTCTACATAAAGCATGTTGGAGTGGGAGTGAGTCAGTGGTGAGATTACTACTGGAGAAGAATGCTGATGTATCAGTGACTGACATGTATGGGTCTACACTTCTACATAAAGCATGTGGGAGTGGGAGTGAGTCAGTGGTGAGATTACTACTGGAGAAGAATGCTGATGTATCAGTGGCTGATGATAATGGGTCTACACCTCTACATAAAGCATGTGAGAGTGGGAGTGAGTCAGTGGTGAGATTACTACTGGAGAAGAATGCTGATGTATCAGTGACTGACAAGTCTGGGTCTACACCTCTACATAAAGCATGTGGGAGTGGGAGTGAGTCAGTGGTGAGATTACTACTGGAGAAGAATGCTGATGTATCAGTGACTGACAAGTCTAGGTCTACACCTCTACAAAAAGCATGTGGGAATGGGAGTGAGGCATTGGTGAGATTACTACTGGACAAGAATGCTGATGTATCAGTGACTGACAAGTTACAGGGGTCTACACCTCTACATAGAGCATGTTGGAGTGGGAGTGAGGCAGTGGTGAGATTACTACTGGAGAAGAATGCTGATGTATCAGTGACTGACAAGTCTGGGTCTACACCTCTACATACAGCATGTGGGAGTGGGAGTGAGTCAGTGGTGAGATTACTACTGGAGAAGAATGCTGATGTATCAGTGACTGACAAGTCTGGGTCTACACCTCTACATAAAGTATGTGGGAGTGGGAGTGAGTCAGTGGTGAGATTACTACTGGACAAGAATGCTGATGTATCAGTGGCTGATGATGATGGGTCTACACCTCTACATAAAGCATGTGGGAATGGGAGTGAGGCAGTGGTGAGATTACTACTGGAGAAGAATGCTGATGTATCAGTGACTGACAAGTCTGGGTCTACACCTCTATTTAAAGCATGTGGGAGTGGGAGTGAGTCAGTGGTGAGATTACTACTGGAGAAGAATGCTGATGTATCAGTGACTGACATGTCTGGGTCTACATCTCTACATAAAGCATGTGGGAATGGGAGTGAGGCAGTGGTGAGATTACTACTGGAGAAGAATGCTGATGTATCAGTGACTGACATGTCTGGGTCTACATCTCTACATAAAGCATGTGGGAATGGGAGTGAGGCAGTGGTGAGATTACTACTGGAGGAGAATGCTGATGTATCAGTGACTGACAAGTCTGGGTCTACACCTCTACAAAAAGCATTTGGGAATGGGAGTGAGGCAGTGGTGAGATTACTACTGGAGAAGAATGCTGATGTATCAGTGACTGATGATAATGGGTCTACACCTCTACATACAGCATGTGGGAGTGGGAGTGAGGCATTGGTGAGATTACTACTGGAGAAGAATGCTGATGTATCAGTGACTGACAAGTCTGGGTCTACACCTCTACAAAAAGCATTTGGGAATGGGAGTGAGGCAGTGGTGAGATTACTACTGGACAAGAATGCTGATGTATCAGTGACTGATGATAATGGGTCTACACCTCTACATACAGCATGTGGGAGTGGGAGTGAGGCATTGGTGAGATTACTACTGGAGAAGAATGCTGATGTAACAGTGACTGACAAGTCTGGGTCTACACCTCTACATAAAGCATGTTGGAGTGAGAATGAGTCAGTGGTGAGATTACTACTGGGGAAGAATGCTGATGTATCAGTGACTGACAAGTCTGGGTCCACACCTCTACATAAAGCATGTGGGAATGACAGTGAGAGTGAGGCAGTGGTGAGATTACTACTGGAGAAGAATGCTGATGTATCAGTGGCTAATGATTATGGGTCTACACCTCTACATGAGGCATGTGAGAGTGACAGAGAGAGTGAGTCAGTGGTGAGATTACTACTGGAGAAGAATGCTGATGTATCAGTGGCTAATGATTATGGGTTAACACCTCTACATAAAGCATGTTGGACTGGGAGTGAGGCAATGGTGAGATTACTACTGGAGAAGAATGCTGATGTATCAGTGACTAATTATAATGGGTCTACACCTCTACATACAGCATGTGGGAATGATGAGGCAGTGGTGAGATTACTACTGGAGAAGAATGCTGATGTATCAGTGACTGACAAGTCTGGGTCTACACCTCTACATAAAGCATGTGAGAGTTGGAGTGAAGAAGTGGTGAGATTACTACTGGAGAAGAATGCTGATGTATCAGTGACTGACAAGTCTGGGTCTACACCTCTACATAAAGCATGTGAGAGTGAGAGTGAAGAAATGGTGAGATTACTACTTGAGAAGAATGCTGATGTATCAGTGACTGACAAGTCTGGGTCTACACCTCTACATAAAGCATGTGGGAGTGGGAGTGAGTCAGTGGTGAGATTACTACTGGAGAAGAATGCTGATGTATCAGTGGCTGATGATGATGGGTCTACACCTCTACTTAAAGCATGTTGGAGTGGGAGTGAGTCAGTGGTGAGATTACTACTGGAGAAGAATGCTGATGTATCAGTGGCTGATGATGATGGGTCTACACCTCTACATAAAGCATGTTGGAGTGGGAGTGAGTCAGTGGTGAGATTACTACTGGACAAGAATGCTGATGTATCAGTGACTGATGATAATGGGTCTACACCTCTACATAAAGCATGTGGGCGTTTGATTGGGAGTGAGGCAGTGGTGAGATTACTACTGGAGAATGGTGCAGATCCAGATGCAGTTGACAACCACGGCCTGACACCAGACAGGACAGTTTGCTCTGCAGCAATAAGGAAAATTGTCTCTACAGCGTGAGTACATGTTTTTCCACACTCACATTGCTATATTCAATGTGTGAATGAAATATATTGAAATCTGTTACGTCACCTGTTCGTCTGCCCGGGAACATAACCTGTGTAGTTATTTCATTTACCATATTTAGATAACAATCTCAGTTTTGAACTATGAATATGTGTCTTCTAAAAGGAATATCCTTTATTAAATGAAACTTAACATCTCTGAGAAGTCATGATGGTTATCAAATGTTTTGGTAGCAATTCAGTTCATATGGTTACATGGATGTGTGTCACTTAGGGCTGGAACAAGCCCAAATTTACTACCCAGGTACCCACCCCCTATTACCCGACCCTACCCGCTGTAGGTCTCAAGAGATAGGTACAAACTGTCGGATTGGGAAAAGTTGGACTGTAGCCCTGGCAAAATGCATTTAGATACATGTGTAAAATGATCTGATGTTGACTGAAGTTTTAGTTTTATTCAAACATATTAAAGAAGGAATGGGCACATAGTCAGAAAGAACTGCGAACATTAGTGACTTGTAGTTCAAACATAATTCTAAGGTCTAGATAATTTTTGTCATTAAACAATATATCACGTGACTAACCATGGGTCCGGGTAGTCCTGTGGGTACCTGGGTCCCACTCAGTACTCACCTGACCCGGGTACCCCAGTTACCTATCCCAGCCCTAGTATCACTAAATATTTCTGGTGACATGTATCCTCCTGGGTATGAATTTCAGGGATAGGAAAAGTATTCACATGTGAAGGTCTGAGTAGTTGTTTGAGGCAACTCGAGAGCACTTCTTCTGCAGAGCATTTGCAATGTTTGTACCACTATTGAAATAGTACTGTGATAGTACGTTCCCACGATGTTTCCTTGCATTACTAAAACTGTCCCACTCATCTGCCATTTCCTGGTTCAGTGGAATGGTGGGGAAATGTTAAGGAAGCTCGGTAACTTGACTGTCTCGAGAGCACCTCCTTTGCATTTCCTCTATTTTTCTTCATTTAAATCTCAAAGGGCAGACCTAAACATACCTATGAGTGCCATCTGGCAAGGAGGGAAGCAATCAATTGCACTATCGATATATTGTACAACAAAATGAACAAGTACTCATGTATTTCACCCTCATTCTTGTACAGTCTTATACAAGAGACACGAACAGGTATCTAAATCAGTTGTGATATGTAATTGTTCCCTTGAGGCAGTGTTACATTCATTGTCTTACCCATGTCATCATGGTTTAAACTGTGCCACGGTCACCCTAACAGGAATTTCAAACCCTGGATTTACTCAGTGTGACCTGGTAACAGGGGTTTCTGAGAATATGAAAGATGATTAAGTCTAAAAAGAATTATAAATGATACAGTTATTGTAAATGTGTTTTTCCATTTAGTTCCTTCTTACAATCTGGTATGACCACATGGATGGCACTGTGCACTGTAAAACCATATCAGTGTCTTTACATTATCACAACACATTAGTGAGACTTTAGCTTCTTCAAGGCTGGCATAAACAGTCTCAACTGATTTTGATAATCATTATAATCATTCATCCCCGCTCCTTCTGTTTGTAGTGTAACCTTGCAATCACACAGTCTTTTGCTAGATAAAAAGCAATAAAATACACCCAGCAGAAAAATCAAATAATTTATTGCTGTGGATTAAATATTGTTCAAATTCACACAGAGTTTAAAAGTGAGAGAGCTTTCTGGACTGAATACGTCTGTCTCTGGTGAACTTTTGCCTTTGTGATTGGTTTCAGTAGAAGACATCGAGCTGTGAGGACAGATGCTCCTGGATGGTGTGATGTAAGTTGAACACACATAGAGTGACAGTGGACACACCTGGATCATGCTCCCTATACAAACTGACAGGCCACTCCATCGGTTGTACTACCAGCAAACCCCTGACAGACTGACAGGCCACTCCATCGGTTGTACTACCAGCAAACCCCTGACAGACTGACAGGCCACACTGTCTGCTGTACTACCAGCAAACCCCTGACAGACTGACAGGCCACTCCATCGGTTGTACTACCAGCAAACCCCTGACAGACTGACAGGCCACTCCATCGGTTGTACTACCAGCAAACCCCTGACAGACTGACAGGCCACTCCATCGGTTGTACTACCAGCAAACCCCTGACAGACTGACAGGCCACACTGTCTGCTGTACTACCAGCAAACCCTGACAGACTGACAGGCCACTCCATCGGTTGTACTACCAGCAAACCCCTGACAGACTGACAGGCCACTCCATCGGTTGTACTACCAGCAAACCCCTGACAGACTGACAGGCCACTCCATCGGTTGTACTACCAGCAAACCCCTGACAGACTGACAGGCCACTCCATCGGTTGTACTACCAGCAAACCCCTGACAGACTGACAGGCCACTCCATCGGTTGTACTACCAGCAAACCCCTGACAGACTGACAGGCCACTCCATCGGTTGTACTACCAGCAAACCCCTGACAGACTGACAGGCCACACTGTCTGCTGTACTACCAGCAAACCCCTGACAGACTGACAGGCCACTCCATCGGTTGTACTACCAGCAAACCCCTGACAGACTGACAGGCCACTCCATCGGTTGTACTACCAGCAAACCCCTGACAGACTGACAGGCCACTCCATCGGTTGTACTACCAGCAAACCCCTGACAGACTGACAGGCCACTCCATCGGTTGTACTACAAGCAAACCCCTGACAGACTGACAGGCCACTCCATCGGTTGTACTACCAGCAAACCCCTGACAGACTGACAGGCCACTCCATCGGTTGTACTACCAGCAAACCCCTGACAGACTGACAGGCCACTCCATCGGTTGTACTACCAGCAAACCCCTGACAGACTGACAGGCCACTCCATCGGTTGACTACCAGCAAACCCCTGACAGACTGACAGGCCACACTGTCTGCTGTACTACCAGCAAACCCCTGACAGACTGACAGGCCACTCCATCGGTTGTACTACCAGCAAACCCCTGACAGACTGACAGGCCACTCCATCGGTTGTACTACCAGCAAACCCCTGACAGACTGACAGGCCACTCCATCGGTTGTACTACCAGCAAACCCCTGACAGACTGACAGGCCACACTGTCTGCTGTACTACCAGCAAACCCCTGACAGACTGACAGGCCACTCCATCGGTTGTACTACCAGCAAACCCCTGACAGACTGACAGGCCACACTGTCTGCTGTACTACCAGCAAACCCCTGACAGACTGACAGGCCACTCCATCGGTTGTACTACCAGCAAACCCCTGACAGACTGACAGGCCACTCCATCGGTTGTACTACCAGCAAACCCCTGACAGACTGACAGGCCACACTGTCTGCTGTACTACCAGCAAACCCCTGACAGACTGACGGGCCACACTGTCTGCTGTACTACCAGCAAACCCCTGACAGACTGATGGGCCACACTGTCTGCTGTACTACCAGCAAACCCCTGACACACTGACAGGCCACACTGTCTGCTGTACTACCAGCAAACACCTGACAGACTGACAGGCCACACTGTCTGCTGTACTACCAGCAAACCCCTGACAGACTGACGGGCCACACTGTCTGCTGTACTACCAGCAAACCCCTGACACACTGACGGGCCACACTGTCTGCTGTACTACCAGCAAACCAAACAACAGACTGACAGGCCACACTGTCTGCTGTACTACCAGCAAACCCCTGACAGACTGACAGGCCACACTGTCTGCTGTACTACCAGCAAACCCCTGACAGACTGACAGGCCACTCCATCGGTTGTACTACCAGCAAACCCCTGACAGACTGACAGGCCACTCCATCGGTTGTACTACCAGCAAACCCCTGACAGACTGACAGGCCACTCCATCGGTTGTACTACCAGCAAACCCCTGACAGACTGACAGGCCACACTGTCTGCTGTACTACCAGCAAACCCCTGACAGACTGACAGGCCACTCCATCGGTTGTACTACCAGCAAACCCCTGACAGACTGACAGGCCACACTGTCTGCTGTACTACCAGCAAACCCCTGACAGACTGACAGGCCACTCCATCGGTTGTACTACCAGCAAACCCCTGACAGACTGACAGGCCACTCCATCGGTTGTACTACCAGCAAACCCCTGACAGACTGACAGGCCACACTGTCTGCTGTACTACCAGCAAACCCCTGACAGACTGACGGGCCACACTGTCTGCTGTACTACCAGCAAACCCCTGACAGACTGATGGGCCACACTGTCTGCTGTACTACCAGCAAACCCCTGACAGACTGACGGGCCACACTGTCTGCTGTACTACCAGCAAACCCCTGACAGACTGACAGGCCACACTGTCTGCTGTACTACCAGCAAACACCTGACAGACTGACAGGCCACACTGTCTGCTGTACTACCAGCAAACCCCTGACAGATTGACGGGCCACTCCATCAACTGTACTACCAGCAAACACCTGACAGACTGACGGGCCACACTGTCTGCTGTACTACCAGCAAACCCCTGACAGACTGACAGGCCACACTGTCTGCTGTACTACCAGTAAACACCTGACAGACTGACAGGCCACACTGTCTGCTGTACTACCAGCAAACCCCTGACAAACTGACAGGCCACACTGTCTGCTGTACTACCAGCAAACCCCTGACAGACTGACGGGCCACACTGTCTGCTGTACTACCAGCAAACACCTGAAAGACTGACGGGCCACACTGTCTGCTGTACTACCAGCAAACACCTGACACACTGACAGGCCACACTGTCTGCTGTACTACCAGCAAACACCTGACAGACTGACAGGCCACACTGTCTGCTGTACTACCAGCAAACCAAACAACAGACTGACAGGCCACACTGTCTGCTGTACTACCAGTAAACACCTGACAGACTGACAGGCCACACTGTCTGCTGTACTACCAGCAAACCCCTGACAGAATGACGGGCCACACTGTCTGCTGTACTACCAGCAAACCAAACAACAGACTGACGGGCCACACTGTCTGCTGTACTACCAGCAAACCCCTGACAGACTGACAGGCTACACTGTCTGCTGTACTACCAGCAAACCCCTGACAGACTGACAGGCTACACTGTCTGCTGTACTACCAGCAAACACCTGACAGACTGACAGGCCACACTGTCTGCTGTACTACCAGCAAACCCCTGACAGACTGACAGGCTACACTGTCTGCTGTACTACCAGTAAACACCTGACAGACTGACAGGCCACACTGTCTGCTGTACTACCAGTAAACACCTGACAGACTGACAGGCCACACTGTCTGCTGTACTACCAGCAAACACCTGACAGACTGACGGGCCACACTGTCTGCTGTACTACCAGCAAACACCTGACAGACTGACAGGCCACACTGTCTGCTGTACTACCAGTAAACCCCTGACAGAATGACAGGCCACACTGTCTTCTGTACTACCAGCAAACCCCTGACAGACTGACGGGCCACACTGTCTGCTGTACTACCAGCAAACCCCTGACAGACTGACGGTCCACACTGTCTGCTGTACTACCAGCAAACCCCTGACAGACTGACGGGCCACACTGTCTACTGTACTACCAGCAAACCCCTGACAAACTGACGGGCCACACTGTCTGCTGGACTACCAGCAAACCCCTGACAGACTGACAGGCCACACTGTCTACTGTACTACCAGCAAACCCCTGACAGACTGACAGGCCACACTTTCTGCTGTACTACCAGCAAACCCCTGACAGACTGACGGGCCACACTGTCTACTGTACTACCAGCAAACCCCTGACAGACTGACGGGCCACACTGTCTGCTGTACTACCAGCAAACCCCTGACAGACTGACAGGCCACACTGTCTGCTGTACTACCAGCAAACCAAACAACAGAATGACAGGCCACACTGTCTGCTGTACTACCAGCAAACCCCTGACAGACTGACAGGCCACACTGTCTGCTGTACTACCAGCAAACCCCTGACACACTGACGGGCCACACTGTCTGCTGTACTACCAGCAAACCCCTGACAGACTGACGGGCCACACTGTCTGCTGTACTACCAGCAAACCAAACAACAGACTGACAGGCCACACTGTCTGCTGTACTACCAGTAAACACCTGACAGACTGACGGGCCACACTGTCTGCTGTACTACCAGCAAACTCCTGACAGACTGACGGGCCACACTGTCTGCTGTACTACCAGCAAACACCTGACAGACTGACAGGCCACACTGTCTGCTGTACTACCAGCATACCAAACAACAGAATGACGGGCCACACTGTCTGCTGTACTACCAGCAAACCCCTGACAGACTGACAGGCCACACTGTCTGCTGTACTACCAGATAACCCCTGACAGACTGACGGGCCACACTGTCTGCTGTACTATCAGCAAACACCTGACAGACTGACGGGCCACACTGTCTGCTGTACTACCAGCAAACCCCTGACAGACTGACGGGCCACACTGTCTGCTGTACTACCAGCAAACACCTGACACACTGACAGGCCACACTGTCTACTGTACTACCAGCAAACCCCTGACAGACTGACGGGCCACACTGTCTGCTGTACTACCAGCAAACACCTGAAAGACTGACGGGCCACACTGTCTGCTGTACTACCAGCAAACACCTGACACACTGACAGGCCACACTGTCTGCTGTACTACCAGCAAACACCTGACAGACTGACAGGCCACACTGTCTGCTGTACTACCAGCAAACCCCTGACAGACTGACGGGCCACACTGTCTGCTGTACTACCAGCAAACACCTGACACACTGACAGGCCACACTGTCTACTGTACTACCAGCAAACCCCTGACAGACTGACGGGCCACACTGTCTGCTGTACTACCAGCAAACCCCTGACAGACTGACGGGCCACACTGTCTGCTGTACTACCAGCAAACACCTGAAAGACTGACGGGCCACACTGTCTGCTGTACTACCAGCAAACACCTGACACACTGACAGGCCACACTGTCTACTGTACTACCAGCAAACCCCTGACAGACTGACAGGCCACACTGTCTGCTGTACTACCAGTAAACACCTGACAGACTGACAGACCACACTGTCTGCTGTACTACCAGCAAACCCCTGACAGACTGACGGGCCACACTGTCTGCTGTACTACCAGCAAACCCCTGACACACTGACGGGGCACACTGTCTGCTGTACTACCAGTAAACACCTGACAGACTGACAGGCCACACTGTCTGCTGTACTACCAGCAAACCCCTGACAGACTGACAGGCCACACTGTCTGCTGTACTACCAGCAAACCCCTGACAGACTGACAGGCCACACTGTCTGCTGTACTACCAGCAAACCAAACAACAGACTGACGGGCCACACTGTCTGCTGTACTACCAGTAAACACCTGACAGACTGACAGGCCACACTGTCTGCTGTACTACCAGCAAACCCCTGACAGAATGAAGGGCCACACTGTCTGCTGTACTACCAGCAAACCCCTGACAGAATGACGGGCCACACTGTCTGTTGTACTACCAGCAAACCCCTGACAGACTGACGGGCCACACTGTCTGCTGTACTACCAGTAAACACCTGACAGACTGACAGGCCACACTGTCTGCTGTACTACCAGCAAACCCCTGACAGACTGACAGGCCACACCGTCTGCTGTACTACCAGCAAACACCTGACAGACTGACAGGCCACTCCATCGGTTGTACTACCAGTAAACACCTGACAGACTGACAGGCCACTCTGTCTGCTGTACTACCAGCAAACCCCTGACACACTGACGGGCCACACTGTCTGCTGTACTACCAGCAAACACCTGACACACTGACAGGCCACACTGTCTGCTGTACTACCAGCAAACCCCTGACAGACTGACGGGCCACTCCATCAGTTGTACTACCAGAAAAACCCCTGACAGACTGACAGGCCACACTGTCTGCTGTACTACCAGCAAACCCCTGACAGACTGACAGGCCACACTGTCTGCTGTACTACCAGCAAACCCCTGACACACTGACGAGCCACACTGTCTGCTGTACTACCAGTAAACCCCTGACAGACTGACAGGCCACACTGTCTGCTGTACTACCAGCAAACACCTGACAGACTGACAGGCCACACTGTCTGCTGTACTACCAGCAAACCCCTGACAGACTGACAGGCCACACTGTCTGCTGTACTACCAGCAAACCAAACAACAGACTGACAGGCCACACTGTCTGCTGTACTACCAGCAAACCCCTGACAGAATGACAGGCCACTCCATCGGTTGTACAACCAGCAAACCCCTGACAGACTGACAGGCCACACTGTCTGCTGTACTACCACCAAACATCTGACAGACTGACGGGCCACACTGTCTGCTGTACTACCAGCAAACCCCTGACAGACTGACAGGCCACACTGTCTGCTGTACTACCAGTAAACACCTGACAGACTGACGGGCCACACTGTCTGCTGTACTACCAGCAAACCAAACAACAGACTGACAGGCCACACTGTCTGCTGTACTACCAGCAAACACCTGACAGACTGACGGGCCTCTCCATCGGTTGTACTACCAGCAAACCCCTGACTGACTGACAGGCCACACTGTCTGCTGTACTACCAGCAAACCCCTGACAGACTGACGGGCCACTCCATCGTTTGTACTACCAGCAAACCCCTGACAGACTGACAGGCCACACTGTCTGCTGTACTACCAGCAAACCCCTGACACACTGATGGGCCACACTGTCTGCTGTACTACCAGCAAACACCTGACAGACTGACAGGCCACACTGTCTGCTGTACTACCAGTAAACCCCTGACAGACTGACAGGCCACTCCTTCGGTTGTACTACCAGCAAACCCCTGACAGACTGACAGGCCACACTGTCTGCTGTACTACCAGCAAACCCCTGACAGACTGACGGGCCACACTGTCTGCTGTACTACCAGTAAACACCTGACAGACTGACACAGGCCACACTGTCTGCTGTACTACCAGCAAACTCCTGACAGACTGACGGGCCACACTGTCTGCTGTACTACCAGCAAACACCTGACACACTGACAGGCCACACTGTCTACTGTACTACCAGCAAACCCCTGACAGACTGAAGGGCCACTCCATCGGTTGTACTGCCAGCAAACACCTGACAGACTGACAGGCCACACTGTCTGCTTTACTACCAGCAAACCCCTGACAGACTGACGGGCCACTTCATCGGTTGTACTACCAGCAAACCCCTAACAGACTGACGGGCCACACTGTCTGCTGTACTACCAGTAAACACCTGACAGACTGACACAGGCTACACTGTCTGCTGTACTACCAGCAAACTCCTGACAGACTGACAGGCCACACTGTCTGCTGTACTACCAGCAAACCCCTTACAGACTGACAGGCCACACTGTCTGCTGTACTACCAGCAAACCCCTGACAGACTGATGGGCCACACTGTCTGCTGTACTACCAGCAAACCCCTGACAGTCTGACAGGCCACACTGTCTGCTGTACTACCAGCAAACACCTGACAGACTGACAGGCCACACTGTCTGCTGTACTACCAGTAAACACCTGACAGACTGACAGGCCACTCCATCGGTTGTACTACCAGCAAACACCTGACAGACTGACGGGCCACACTGTCTGCTGTACTACCAGCAAACCCCTGACAGACTGACAGGCCACACTGTCTGCTGTACTACCAGTAAACACCTGACAGACTAACAGGCCAAAACATCTGCTTTAACATACTATGTTACACAGCAAAAAATTATTAAAAATATATTCAAAACATTGATTCATTGCTTACTTTATAGTTAAAGGCTGCACATCATACAAGGTATCAGCTTATTTAGAATGCGCCTGGTTTGTAACAATGCCTTGACACTTTTTCAAGTATTTAAATGTTACTGGATTTACTATCTGCTATATGTTCTCCTTTATCCTTTATAAACCAGATCCGATCAAGTCAGCAGACTGGAACACCAGAGACTCTCTACCAGCAATCTCAACTCATGACACAGTCAGGTGGATCTCAGCTCATGACACAGTCAGTTGGATCTCAGCTCATGACACAGTCATTTGGATCTCAGCTCATGACACAGCCAGGTGTACCTCAGCTCATGACACAGGCATTTGGATCTCAGCTCATGACACAGTCAGTTGGATCTCAGCTCATGACACAGTCAGGTGGATCTCAGCTCATGACACAGTCAGGTGGATCTCAGCTCATGACACAGTCAGTTGGATCTCAGCTCATGACACAGTCAGTTGGATCTCAGCTCATGACACAGCCACGTGTACCTCAGCGCAAGGCACAGTCAGGTGGATCTCAGCTCATGACACAGTCAGGTGGATCTCAGCTCCTGACACAGTCAGGTGGATCTCAGCTCATGACACAGTCAGGTGGATCTCAGCTCATGACACAATCAGGTGGATCTCAGCTCATGACACAGTCAGGTGGATCTCAGCTCATGACACAGCCAGGTGTACCTCAGCGCAAGGCACAGTCAGGTGGAGCTCAGCTTGTGGGACAGTTGGGGCACACTCAACTCACCCCCCACCTGGGTGGACCTCAAGTGATAGGACACTTGGAACACACTCAGCTCACAACACAGTCCGGTGGATCTCATATTGAAGGGCAGTTTGGTCACACTCAGGTCACTCAGGTGGGGCACACTGAGGTCACTCAGTTAAACGTTCATCAAGATTCACCAATTTTCATGCCAGATACATCCTGGCTTCCAACCAATGCAGACATAGCCCCAAGATCTTCCTCAGTGTCTAGACAAGTAGGGACATCTCAGAGCTTGATGTCAGCCCAAGGTGCACCTCAGAGCTTGATGTCAGCCCAAGGTGCACCTCAGAGCTTGATGTCAGCCCAAGGTGCACCTCAGAGCTTGATGTCAGCCCAAGGTACCCGTGCACTTCAGGGCAGTATAATATCATTTAGGGGTAGTGACTATACTGCACAAACAGCAACACTACCTATGAAGGTTGCACCTGATGGCATGATCTCTTCCTCAGATGATCCAAGTTTAAATCAAAACAATCTACCTGCACTCAACACTGATCCTTTCATCCTATCTCCGAATATGCTTTTAAGATTGAACAACAACCAGCACTTCGGGCACACTCCTGCAAATGAGGCCACTACAACTGTGACAGCCACTGAACAAAGCATAATGCCAAGCATTTCTGGTAACCAACCTATACCACAACCACCTGTGAGCACCCCCAATGAGGGACATGGTCTGGTGCCAAGCAACACCCAGGACTATTATCCTTCTGTCTCCATGTCCAGCACAGCAATGTCTCCACAAGGGGCACCACCCATTTACAGTCATACAAATTCACAAAGCTTCCTGCTTCCAAATGTACGATTCAGATTCTAGTTGATGTTGATGTTTAGAAACAGAGTACTGCAAGTCTAAACAGTCAGCCACTACAAAGAGTATGAATAAACAATATCTTGCTGAGATACAAAATGTAAAAAATCGGTGACACTGCACAAGAAGTAGTATTCTATAATTGTCTACCATTACTGAACTTACAGGGAAGATCATCTAATGACTACTTCCTCAAGCACCTGTTACTGGATCTGTACACTTTTAACTACTTGCCTCCTGCTTGGCAACAGAATGTAGCAGCACCCCTTCTCATAAAAAAACAGATACCGGTATCAGATACAAGGTTCCAATATCCTTTCTAAAGGCATTAGAGTTGAAGCCAAGACCCTTTCCTGAAGGCAGTGGAGTATCTGCCAAGACCCTTTCCTGAAGGCAGTGGAGTTGATGCCAAGACCCATTCCTGAAGGAAGGGGAGTAGCTGCCAAGACCCTTTCCCCCAAGGCAGTGGAGTAGCTGCCAAGACCCATTCCTGAAGGCAGTGGAGTAGCTGCCAAGACCCTTTCCTGGAGGCCGTGGAGTAGCTGCCAAGACCCATTCCTGAAGGCAGTGGAGTATCTGCCAAGACCCTTTCCTGAAGGCAGTGGAGTTGATGCCAAGACCCATTCCTGAAGGAAGGGGAGTAGCTGCCAAGACCCTTTCCCCCAAGGCAGTGGAGTAGCTGCCAAGACCCATTCCTGAAGGCAGTGGAGTAGCTGCCAAGACCCTTTCCTGGAGGCCGTGGAGTAGCTGCCAAGACCCATTCCTGAAGGCAGTGGAGTATCTGCCAAGACCCTTTCCTGAAGGCAGTGGAGTTGATGCCAAGACCCATTCCTGAAGGAAGGGGAGTAGCTGCCAAGACCCTTTCCCCCAAGGCAGTGGAGTAGCTGCCAAGACCCATTCCTGAAGGCAGTGGAGTAGCTGCCAAGACCCTTTCCTGGAGGCCGTGGAGTTGATGCCAAGACCCTTTCCTGGAGGCAGTGGAGTAGCTGCCAAGACCCTTTCCTGAAGGCAGTGGAGTATCTGCCAAGACCCTTTCCTGAAGGCAGTGGAGTTGATGCCAAGACCCATTCCTGAAGGAAGGGGAGTAGCTGCCAAGACCCTTTCCCCCAAGGCAGTGGAGTAGCTGCCAAGACCCATTCCTGAAGGCAGTGGAGTAGCTGCCAAGACCCATTCCTGGAGGCAGCGGAGTAGCTGCCAAGACCCTTTCCTGAAGGCAGTGGAGTAGCTTTCAAGACCCATTCCTGAAGGCAGTGGAGTAGCTGCCAAGACCCATTCCTGAAGGCCGTGGAGTTGATGCCAAGACCCATTCCTGAAGGCAGTGGAGTAGCTGCCAAGACCCTTTCCTGAAGGCAGCGGAGTAGCTGTCAAGACCCATTCCTGGAGGCCGTGGAGTTGATGCCAAGACCCTTTCCTGGAGGCAGCGGAGTAGCTGCCAAGACCCTTTCCTGAAGGCAGTGGAGTAGCTGCCAAGACCCTTTCCTGGAGGCAGCGGAGTAGCTGTCAAGACCCATTCCTGGAGGCCGTGGAGTTGATGCCAAGACCCTTTCCTGGAGGCAGTGGAGTAGCTGCCAAGACCCTTTCCTGAAGGCAGTGGAGTTGATGCCAAGACCCATTCCTGAAGGCCGTGGAGTTGATGCCAAGACCCATTCCTGAAGGCAGTGGAGTAGCTGCCAAGACCCTTTCCTGAAGGCAGCGGAGTAGCTGTCAAGACCCATTCCTGGAGGCCGTGGAGTTGATGCCAAGACCCTTTCCTGGAGGCAGCGGAGTAGCTGCCAAGACCCTTTCCTGAAGGCAGTGGAGTAGCTGCCAAGACCCTTTCCTGGAGGCAGCGGAGTAGCTGTCAAGACCCATTCCTGGAGGCCGTGGAGTTGATGCCGAGACCCTTTCCTGGAGGCAGTGGAGTAGCTGCCAAGACCCTTTCCTGAAGGCAGTGGAGTTGATGCCAAGACCCATTCCTGAAGGCCGTGGAGTTGATGCCAAGACCCTTTCCTGAAGGCAGTGGAGTAGCTGCCAAGACCCTTTCCTGAAGGAAGTGGAGTTGATGCCAAGACCCTTACTAATATAAAGGCAGTGGAGTTGATGCAAAACCTTAGAGAGGGGAGCAAGTCAAAATGGTATACCAGGGGTATGTCAAAATGGACCAAATAAAATTGCAAAATGGCAAATAGAAAATTAAAAACAGCCATCCTAGCCCATACTTTAAATGATTATCAACATCATTAATGCTAAATGTGACTATTACTATGATGTTACAATGAATGGAGAACAACACTTCTTTGATTCACAAATCCATTTATATATGTCATTAACTTTTATTCAAGGCACCTGTGTTAAAACTGTAACTTTCTTCATTATTGTATTTATTGTATTGATAAGAATCTACTCTGCCCATGTGCAGGCCAGATTGCAAAAATACATGCACAGACAACTGATGTCTTACTGTCAGAATGGCTTCAGCACTGTGTTGGGCTGATTGATCCTATACATTTATTACTCTCAAAAAGAAAACTCCTCATGAATTGTCATGAATTGATTGTACATATGTTGTGTTGACGTGTATTGATTGTATATATGTTGTGTTGACGTGTATTGATTGTACATATGTTGTGTTGACGTGTATTGATTGTACATATGTTGTGTTGACGTGTATTGATTGTACATATGTTGTGTTGACGTGTATTGATTGTACATATGTTGTGTTGGCGTATATTGATTGTATATATGTTGTGTTGACGTGTATTGATTGTACATAAGTTGAATTGACGTGTATTGATTGTACATATGTTGTGTTGACGTGTATTGATTGTACATATGTTTTGTTGACGTGTATTGATTGTACATATGTTGTGTTGACGTGTATTGATTGTACATATGTTGTGTTGACGTGTATTGATTGTATATATGTTGTGTTGACGTGTATTGATTGTACATATGTTGTGTTGACGTGTATTGATTGTACATATGTTGTGTTGACGTGTATTGATTGTACATATGTTGTGTTGACGTGTATTGATTGTACATATGTTGTGTTGACGTGTATTGATTGTACATATGTTGTGTTGACGTGTATTGATTGTACATAAGTTGTATTGACGTGTATTGATTGTACATATGTTTTGTTGACGTGTATTGATTGTACATATGTTTTGTTGACGTGTATTGATTGTACATATGTTGTGTTGACGTGTATTGATTGTACATATGTTGTGTTGACGTGTATTGATTGTACATATGTTGTGTTGACGTGTATTGATTGTACATATGTTGTGTTGACGTGTATTGATTGTACATATGTTGTGTTGAAGTGTATTGATTGTACATATGTTGTGTTGACGTGTATTGATTGTACATATGTTGTGTTGACGTGTATTGATTGTACATATGTTTTTTTGACGTGTATTGATTGTACATATGTTGTGTTGACGTGTATTGATTGTACATATGTTGTGTTGACGTGTATTGATTGTACATATGTTGTGTTGACGTGTATTGATTGTACATATGTTGTGTTGACGTGTATTGATTGTACATATGTTGTGTTGACGTGTATTGATTGTACATATGTTGTGTTGACGTGTATTGATTGTACATATGTTGTGTTGACGTGTATTGATTGTACATATGTTTTGTTGACGTGTATTGATTGTACATATGTTGTGTTGACGTGTATTGATTGTACATATGTTGTGTTGACGTGTATTGATTGTACATATGTTTTGTTGACGTGTATTGATTGTACATATGTTGTGTTGACGTGTATTGATTGTACATATGTTGTGTTGACGTGTATTGATTGTACATATGTTGTGTTGACGTGTATTGATTGTACATATGTTGTGTTGACGTGTATTGATTGTACATATGTTGTGTTGACGTGTATTGATTGTACATATGTTGTGTTGACGTGTATTGATTGTACATATGTTGTGTTGACGTGTATTGATTGTACATATGTTGTGTTGACGTGTATTGATTGTACATATGTTGTGTTGACGTGTATTGATTGTCCATATGTTGTGTTGACGTGTATTGATTGTACATATGTTGTGTTGACGTGTATTGATTGTACATATGTTGTGTTGACGTGTATTGATTGTACATATGTTGTGTTGACGTGTATTGATTGTACATATGTTTTGTTGACGTGTATTGATTGTATATATGTTGTGTTGACGTGTATTAATTGTACATATGTTGTGTTGACATGTATTGATTGTACATATGTTGTGTTAACATGTATTGATTGTACATATGTTGTGTTGACGTGTATTGATTGTACATATGTTGTGTTGACGTGTATTAATTGTACATATGTTGTGTTGACATGTATTGATTGTATATATGTTGTGTTAACATGTATTGATTGTACATCTTTTGTTGACATGTATTGATTGTACATACGTTGAGTTGACTTTTGTTATATCATGATGATATCATGATATAACATTTATACTAAGTTTTCCTATAATAATTAGATCCACATCAAGTGCTTTTATGAGTTATCATGGTGTAATATTTATACATCATTTCATATAATTAAAGTTTAGCAAGTAATACTTATGATCAGGTAAAATGCATATATAAAATATCAGTAGTTTCAGTTATAGCTTTTTAGATAGATGCGAGCCTAAGGTAATGGGAGCGCATCTCCTAGACATACTATTCAATAGTTCAAAGAGTTATGTCTACATAGTTTAATAGATTTGAAGCTTTTAGATAAATGCTAGCCTAAGGTATCAAGATCCCATCTCCCAGACAAAAGATATGTCTACATGGTCTTATAGATTGCCTTTAACTATTTTATTGTCCCCCGCCGCGCGAAAGCGCGAAGCGGGGGATATAGTATTCACGACCGTCCGTACGTCCGTCCGTACGTCCCACCTGTTTGTTGCCGCGATATATCAAGAACTAAACACTGGATTGTCTTCATATTTGGAACTATGGTGTATATACAGACTCCGCAGACACCAGTCGGTTTTGGTGACCTTGAGCCCATTTTCAAGGTCACAGCAGGTAAATCTGCTTTTGGAGTTGGAAAACGGTGTTGCCGCGATATCTCAAGAACTAATCGCAGGATTGTCTTCATGTTTGGAACTATGGTGTATATACAGACTCCGCAGACACCAGTCGGTTTTGGTGACCTTGACCCCATTTTCAAGGTCACAGCAGGTAAATCTGCTTTTGGAGTTGGAAAACGGTGTTGCCGCGATATCTCAAGAACTAATCGCAGGATTGTCTTCATGTTTGGAACTATGGTGTATATACAGATACCGCAGACACCAGTCGGTTTTGGTGACCTTGACCCCATTTTCAAGGTCACAGCAGGCAAATCTGCTTTTGGAGTTGGAAAACGGTGTTGCCGCGATATCTCAAGAACTAATCGCAGGATTGTCTTAATATTTGGAACTATGGTGTATATACAGACACCGCAGACACCAGTCGGTTTTGGTGACCTTGACCCTATTTTCAAGGTCACAGCAGGCAAATCTGCTTTTGGAGTTGGAAAACGGTGTTGCCGCGATATCTCAAGAACTAATCGCTGGATTGTCTTCATATTTGGTATTTTGGTGTATATACAGGCGGGGGACATTTCGTCACTTCTGTGACAAATACTTGTTTAAGTAAATCTGTCATCACCTATATTAGAATAACATTCAGCAATTACTTCAATTTAGACTCATTAAGGATTAGCCCCCATACAAGCTCATCTATAATGATACCATAATCTCTTTCCAAGCACCCAGTAAATATGTCAACAAGATTAGTGCCAACAGGATTAACAAGATTAAGTATTCACCTCTGTCTAGCTATTCATTTAGTATAGGGCACAGCCCATCGTGTATCAACCAATCAGATTCCATTATATTGTTCTAATTTTTGTTAAATACATACAGAAACCAAATGTTAAGCAGAAGGGGTTTGCGGCTCATACCAAGCAGATCTCTCTCCCACAAGCCAGAGGGTTGTACCGACTCTGTGGCACCCTCAGCTATATTCGAAGATATTGTAATTTGCTCATTGTCAACTGTTCTTGTAAATAAAACTGTGATTAGTCTCCTGTGACTCCAGCTCTTTGCTGACTAATTCCCCCAAAAAACCAGCACGCCATTTGGAAGGTTTTGTTCAACCGAACAGAACCATAATAATTCAATGATAATGACACAGTATAGGTTCAAGGCCGTGGATATGTAGTTTTGATAACCGTGTTTAAAGAGATATTTATGATCTCTCTTCTCAACTGTGAGAACACTGTGTGAGTCGCCTCTGCGTGAGGCACCTGAAATATGTTGCCTGTGCCCTTTTACTGTGGATCTTGTGCTTTGTGGCCTCAGGTTATGAAGTTCATGTCCCAGGGCAAACGTAACACTTGATATTGGACCAACTCAAGCATCAATAATATGTGTTGATTGCATGATGCACTGTATATATGATATAAGATGAGGATGCAGTATATATACAACATGATGATGAAGTGTATATATGATATAACATGATGATGCAGTGTATGTATAATATGACATGATGATGCAGTATATATACAACATGATGATGCAGTGTATATATATGATATAAGATGATGATGCAGTGTATATATATGATATAACATGTTGATGAAGTGTGTATATGACATAACATGAGGATGCAGTGTATATATGATTTAACATGATAATGCAGTGTATATATGATATAACATGATGACACAGTGTATATATTATAGATCATGATGATGCAGTGTATATATACTGAACAACAAAAGTTCCTGTGATATTGAATAAGATTTAATGCAAAGTTATGTTTTTCACCAAATCTGAAACAATTTCGGCTTGCAACAGATAAAAGACTCCTGTAAGTGTTCAAATGGTTTAATTTGCCATACTGACTTCAGAAAATGCGTGATTTCATAAAATAAACCATGAACATGCCAAAATGTCAATTTACAAATCAATAGCATGTGTGTCCACCTCTGTTTGCGATGCAAGCAACAAATCTTTGTCTCATGGAATGGAACAGGCGTCGCACAAAGTCCTGTGGGATATCTGTCCATATCTGTTGGAGCATGTTTCGAAGTTCCTGGAGTGTCTGTGGAACACATGGTTGACGTTGAAGGCACCGATCCATCTCATCCCACATGTGCCCGATTGGTGAGAGTTCAGGGGAGCGAGCCGGCCTGGGGATGACATTCACGTTGTTTTGTTGAAGAGAATCCTGAACAAGTCGAGCCGGGCGTTGTCATGTTAAAAGGTAATGCCTGGGCCATGATGACGCAAAAACGGTAGAACAACAGGGCTGATGATCTCGTCGCGGTAGCGCTGTCCATTGAGATTTCCCTCTACCACTATCAAACAGGTCCTCTGTCTTGCTGTAATCCCACCCTGTACCATAACGCTGCTGCCCCCAAACCGATCTTCTTCCATGACACAATGATTGACGTAACGTTCACGTAACGTTCACTTCGACGTCGGTACACTCGAATCCATCCATCTCTGTGGCGGAGGTGAAAACGAGTTTCGTCAGTGAATAGAACTTGTCCCCACTGCATGGCCGACCAGTGTAGACGCTGTCTGCACCACTGTAGACGTGCTTGACTGTGGTTTCCTGTCAAAATGGGGCGTCTGGCGGGTCTTCTGGCGACAATCCCTGCACATCTAAGGCGTCGACATACGGTTTGTGAAGATATTCGTCAAAGGCCAGGGATGCTTCTTGCAGTCACTGTTGCTGGCTGGAATTGATTTTGTAGGTGTGTCTTGTCAATTATTGGTTATGCGTGGCCTGCCATCCGAGGATGGTCTCTGACTGCATTCGTCTGTTGCCAACGTTGCCATAAACACCAAATGGTGTTTCTGTGGACGTTAAATTGTCTTGCAACATCACGTTGACTCAATCCTGCTTC